ATGTCTGTAGATTAGTGTTTTTTAAGCCTTCTTTCAGTCAAGACACACTTTAAAATTGTTCACAAACTTGGGCTACACCAGTCTAAGGGCTTGTTCACACCAGGAGCTGCGTCCGAGCGCGCGCATGCCTTTTTGCGCATTTTTTAAATGGGCTGCTCTATGTGTGTGAAAAACACAAAGGGTGCCAGCATGATTTTTAAAATTGCGCTGCACCAAAATGTGTGCTACTGCGGTACTATGCGTTTTAGCAGAAGCAAACACACATTTGCTGTATGCATAGGGGTGCCTTTAGGAATTATTGGCACCCATGTCGGTTGTGCTGTGCGGGAAGAGGTGTCATTTCGCACATGTTATCACACTGCATCTGGTGTGAACAAGCCCTAAACTGTTATTCAGTGCCAGAGTACCTTAGCTGTCACTGCTCAGTGATCAAAATATTTAGGTAGATTTAGTCATCGTACTTGCTTCCAAAGTAAAGCCGAAGTATGAATTTAGACATTTTCTTTTTTTTTTTGCAAATCCTTAAACAATTTTCAAAATTTACATAGCAATAGAACATGGGCACAGCCACCTTATGACAGGAGGTTACAGCATAGGATGCAGACCAGTGTACAATTACCTTTGAGGGTCACATACTGTACATCAAGAGGAAGCTTAGAGTCACTAGACCTATCCCACTAAAAATGCTGCACCATGAAGCAAGTTACTGGCAACTCACTTCTTGCCATCAAAAAACAAAAACCCCAGAACTGGGAAATAGGGGTATAAGAAAAAAACACCTGGTGTGAACAAGCCCCAAAATGTTATTTTGTGAGGCAGGGTTCAGTGGTCTGTAGGTTGTAACCCCCCCCCCCCCCCCCCCCAACGTTCCCCCTCCTAGCATAAAAATTCTCTCCCGCCACCACAAAAAAAATCAAATCCCCCCTTCTAGCATAAATCCTCCCTTCCAAAACCCCCTCCTTGCACAACCTCCAACCAAAATCTCCACTTCTAGCACAAATCCCTTCCTTCAAAATCCCCCTTTCTAGTACAAATCCCTTCCCCTCCAGATTCCCCTCTTCTAGCACAACCCCCCCCCCCCCCCAAATCCCCACTCCTAGCACAAATCCCTACCTCCAAAATCACTTCTGCTTCCACAAATCCTCCTCCAAAATCCCCCTTCCTGGTATAAATCCCCCATCCCAAAATCTCCTCTTCTAACACAGATTCCTTCCTAATCCCTGCTCCTAGCACAAACTCCCCCCCCCCCCCCTTCCAAAATTCCCTAGAGTTTACTAGAACTATAAAGCTGAGGCAGACGCCCTCCTGTGTCCTACCAACTGATGATGTCATTGGTTGCTAAGGACATGTCAGGCACCCACAGTTTTTTCCGTTGGGGAAATCTTCCAATGGGGACACCTGTTCTGGGGACTACTGTCTAACAGTCTTCATTAACAGGAAGTGGATGGTCCCCAAAAGGACACTGACAATAAAAGATAAATTGAATTGACAGGGTTTTTTTCCACACCCTACTCCATCCAAAACAGAAAAATTTGGCTATACATGTACTTTAAGGGCTCGTTTAGACTTGAGCTTGGGGGGATGTTAAAAATGCGCAGTTGAACTGCATTTTTAATGCTTCCTAACTGCCTCCTCCTAAGCTGCCAAGGCAGAAGATGAGGATGTTTACATGTCATGGTTGTGATGGTTTGCACTTGCGTCAAAAACTTTTGCCCCTTTCATCTTTGGCAAGCAGAAAGCCTGCTAAAAAGTACCCATTCAAGTGAATGGATAAGCACCACAAATGCCCCACAACTGCTCACAATGCATGCAGCTGTGGCACATTGGTGCACATTACGGGGTTAAAACAGGCAGTGAGTAGGCATCACATTGCCTCTTCACAGCCTGTCAAATGCCTCTAAAAAGTAATTCAAGTGTTGATTGCTTTTTAGAGATGCAGCTGTTTAGACACAAGTCTAAACTTAGTCTAAGTGTGAGGATGAAAAAGAGTGCTTGACCTATTCAGTGTCAGTGTACCTTAGCTGTCACTGGTCAGTTATCAAAATATTTGGGTAGATCCAGTCATCATACTGCTTTCCAAAGTAAAGCCAAAGTATGAACTCTTTTTTTGTACATTTTTTATTTATTCTTTTTCAAAATTTATATAGCAATAGAATATACAGTTGCAAGAAAAAGTATGTGAACCCCTTGGGATTACGTAGAGTTTTGCATGAATTGGGCATAAAATGTGCTCTGAACTTCATCTAAGTTACAACAATAGAAGAACACAGTCTGCTGAACATAATACTACACAAACATTAGATGTTGCCATGGTTTAATTGTACATAACATGTAAACATTCACAGTGCAGAGAGGAAAAAGTATGTGAACCTTTGGACTTAATAACTGGTTGACCCTGCTTTGGCAGCAATAACCTCAACCAAACGTTTCCTGTAGTTTCAGATCAGACCTGCACAACGATCTGGAGTCATTTTGGACCACTCCTCTTCACAAAACTGTTTCAGTGTAGCAATAGTCTTGGGATGTCTGGTGTGAAGTTCTCTCTTAAGGTCATGCCACAGCATTTCAATGGGGTTGAGGTCAGGACTCTGACTGGGCCACTCCAGAAGGCATATTCTGTGCTGTTGCAGCCATTGTTTTGTTGAATTACTTGTATGCTTTGGGTCATTGTCCTGTTGCATCACCCATCCTCTGCAGAGCTTCAGTTGGCGGACAGATGGTCGTACGTTTTCCTGCAAAGTGTCTTGATAAACTCTGTAATTCATTTTCCCATCAATGACAACAATCCGTCCAGGCCCTGAGGCAGCAAAGCAGCCCCAAACCATGATGTTCCCCTCCGCCATGTTTTACAGTGGGGATGAGGTTTTGATGTTGGTGTGCTGTGCCTTTTTTTTTCTCCACACATAGTGTTGTGTGTTCTTCCCAAACAACTCAATCTTGGTTTCATCTGTCCACAGTACATTTTGCCAGTAGTGCTGTGGAACATCCAGGTGCTCTTTTGCAAACTTCAAACGTGCTGCAATATTCTTTTTGGACAGCAATGGCTTCCTCTGTGATGTCCTCCCTATGTACTTCATTCTTTTTCAAAGTTTTCCTTATTGTAGATGTATCAACAAAAATGTTAGCATGTGCCAGAGATTTCTGTAGGTCTTTAGCTGACACTCTGGGATTCTTCTTTACCTCATGCAGCATTCTGTGCTGTGCTCTTGCAGTCATTTTTACAGGACGACCACGCCTAGGGAGAGTAGCAACAGTGCTAAACTTTCTCCATTTGTAGACAGTCTGTCTTACTGTGGACACATGAACATCAAGGCTTTTGGAGATACTTTTGTAACCCTTTCCAGCTTCATGCAAGTCAACAATTCTTGATCGTAGGTCTTCTGAGAGCTCTTTTCTGCAAGGCATGGTTCACATCAGACAGTGCTTCTTGAAACCAGTAAACCCAAAACAGGTGTGTGTTTTTTAAGGGCAGGACAGCTGTCAGCAACACATCCAATATCATCACACTGATTGGAGTCAAGGTTGGCTCACTCCTGGCTCCAATTAGCTCTGGGAGAAGTCATTAAGCTAGGGCCTCACATACTTTTTCCTCCCTGCACTGTGAATGTTTACATGTTATGTGCAATTAAACCATGGCAACATCTAATGTTTGTGTAGTATTATGTTCAGCAGACTGTGTTCTTCTATTGTTGTGACTTAGATGACGTTCAGGGCACATTTTATTCCCAATTCATGCAAAACTCCACATAATCCCAAGGGGTTCACATACTTTTTCTTGCAACTGTAGGCACAGCCACCTCCTGAGAGCAGGTTACAGCATAGAATGCAGACCAGTGTACAATCACCTTTGAGGGTCACATACATTGAGGTGAAGCTTAGATAGAGTCAGTAGGCCTACCCTTATAAAACTGCTAGCACCATGAAGCAAAATGCTGACAACCTAATCCTTGCCATCAAAAAACAAAGCATTCCCCCAACCCTACAACAGGAAAAAAGGTGTAAAAGAAAAAGATAAAATGGAGGGAGGAGGAGAGAAAGAGGAAGGCGAAAAACAAGGGGGGAAAGAAGGACAGAAAAGAGATCCTGATGACCTGGAGCCTTAACCACCACTGCCATGATGCACGACAGAGGCGATGTAAGACATTTTTTTATGTGTTGCTAACCAACATGGACTCATTTTCCCATGAACATAGTCTAGTGGAACCAAGTGCACTTACAATCCTACAATGCTCTTCTTTAGCATTTAGTGCTGCCGTTAGTTTCCATTTGCTGAATTTCATTCATCTTGGAGAACCACATTTTAAAAGTAGGGGTAGCCTCTTGCTTCCAGAGGGTCGGGATGCACACCTTGGCTGCATGCACTAGTTTAATCAACAGTGTCTCTTTATACCTCTTCCTTGGTAGATGAGAGGAATGTAACAGATACTTAGCCAGGTCTGTACCCAGATCAAAGTCTGTTAGTTGTTGAATGAAAGACCTGACTGAGGCCCCAAAACACTAATTTTCATTGTAAGTCCAGAAGATGTGTATGAGTGTACCTTTCGATTTACGGCATCTCCAACAGATGTTTGTGGCTTGGGTGTAAATTTTGCTTAGCACTGACAGCACCCTGTACCAGCGCACTAAGATACTATAAACCAGTTCTTGGTACCTGTTAGAGATGGATGAGTATTGTGCAAAATATAAAATGTCTTCCCTTTGAGTAGAAGAAAATGAGGTCTCCAAGTCCCTTTCCCATTGAAGTAAAAATGGGGAGACAAAGGTTTGCACTGGAAGGACCAGTAGGCGATAAGCTGCTGAGATTGTATGAGCAGAGGGTGAAGCATCTGTGCAGATGCGTTCAAAAGAAGTTTCCAAGTCAGGGTGCACGCCTTTACTGGCGACCAAAGAAAGATAGTGGCACAGCTGCTGGAGTCTCCATGCTTCAAGGGAGCGGTCAAACATCTGTAGAAATGTTCTTAATTTAGGGGTAACTTTCTTATTTATGATCATGTTCTTAGGAAGAAAGTGCTCAGGATTTAAAAAAACAAAATACTCCGTTGGATGAATATGAAATAGAGATGTCCCGGATGGAACAGGAGAATTTAGTTTTACGAGATTCCATGGAACTACTAAGCAAAGAAATTTCCAAATCCCAGCAAGAGGCCTTGGAGTAAAAGAAAAGCAAAACAGGTATTGGGGTTGTACATATAGATGATGTAGATGAAAACACAAAAACCCATCAAACAAATTGTCCACAACACACAACTCCCCCACACTATGCTATACATTCATGCAAAGAAGACCTGTGTAATAGGTGGTCATTTTTGATTTTTGAATATATTCATTTGCAAATATGTGTGGAAAATGCATGATTAAGGATGTTACAACCAAAATGAGACATCTGGCATTGTCACCCGTATACTGAAGTTATAAATAAGAGGAGTTTTGGATGGTTGCCATGCTGTTGCCTCTGTCATCTTCATCTTGAACTGTATAAAGCGGAAACTAAACCCATCAATTTAACAGCTTTACAAAACAGTTACATTCAAGGCATGCTGTGAATGATAACTATCACAGCTGCTTGTGCTCTCAAATGAACTGTCAAGCCATCAAATGGCTGATGTCATAACTGATCGCGTGCATCACCGTGGCAACTGCAGATCAAACAGGTCTTGGCTGTAAAGGATAGGAGGGTTTAGTTCCCCTTTAATGTATCATCATTACCTATGTGGCACACGTACGTGGATGTGCACACACACACATCACAACTCTTGTGGACATCATGCAATTTAAGGCCCCTTTCACACATGGGCCTTCTGTTCTGTCCGCTGATCTCCTCCTGATCTCCTGACTGGAGTAGAGCGGGCGGATGGCAGGTCTGTGTCTGCTTAGTTTATGCAGAATGGACATGAACACAGCTTGCTCTGCTCTATGACCGGCCGGGAGCTGACAGACCAGTCCACCCAAACAGAAGAGAATAAAGTTCTCCTCTTCCATTTTTTTAGCAGACCTGATTAAATCCTGAGATAGGTGGATGTAAACAAACACAAGTCTGTCTGCACACACCGGTCTCTAAGAATGCATGGACCATCTGATCAGGTCCGCATGAAAAAATGACTGGTGTGCCTGATTGGATCACCCTTGTGAAAGGACCCTAACACTGTGAAAGTATTCACAGAACTGAGATGTATTACCTGATTGTGAAATGCTGCAGGAACTTATTTTTGTTATCAGAACTGTGGGCTCCATTCACAAAGTGGCAATTTCCGCTTTAAAAATTTGTGGTAAGATACCTCATAACATTTTTCTAAAAAATTTTTGCAATTCACAAAAAAAGCCAAAGGCATGCGTTATTTCATCAAAATATGCAGCATTTATCTCATGAAAGCATGCGGCATTTATCTCATGAAACCATGCAGTATTTATCTCATGAAACCATGCGGTATTTATCTCATGAAACCATGCAGCATTTATCTCATGAAACCATGCGGTATTTATCTCATGAAACCATGCAGCATTTATCTCATGAAACCATGCGGTATTTATCTCATGAAACCATGCGGCATTTATCTCATTAAACCATGCGGCATTTATCTCATGTACCCATGCGGTATTTATCTCATGAAACCATGCGGCATTTATCTCATGAAACCATGCGGCATTTATCTCATGAAACCATGCGGTATTTATCTCATGAAACCATGCAGCATTTATCTCATTAAACCATGCAGCATTTATCTCATGTACCCATGCGGTATTTATCTCATGAAACCATGCGGCATTTATCTCATGAAACCATGCGGCATTTATCTCATGAAACCATGCGGCATTTATCTCATTAAACCATGCGGCATTTATCTCATGTACCCATGCAGCATTTATGTCATGAAACCATGCGGTATTTATCTCATGAAACCATGTGGCATTTATCTCATGAAACCATGTGGCATTTATCTCATGAAACCATGCGGTATTTATCTCATGAAACCATGCAGCATTTATCTCATGAAACCATGCGGTATTTATCTCATGAAACCATGCGGCATTTATCTCATTAAACCATGCGGCATTTATCTCATGAAACCATGCAGCATTTATCTCATTAAACCATGCGGTATTTATCTCATGAAACCATGTGGCATTTATCTCATGAAACCATGTGGCATTTATCTCATGAAACCATGTGGCATTTATCTCATGAAACCATGCGGTATTTATCTCATGAAACCATGCAGCATTTATCTCATGAAACCATGCGGTATTTATCTCATGAAAACCATGCGGCATTTATATCTCATGAAACCATGCGGCATTTATCTCATGAAACCATGCGGCATTTATCTCATGAAACATGACAGGCATGCGGCATTTACTCATGAAACCCTGTGGCATTTATCTCATGAAACCATGCGGCATTTATCTCATGCATTTATGTTCCATGAACCATGAGCGTAATTTCTCATGAATTTATAACTCATGAAACCATGTGGCATTTATCTCATGAAACCATGCGGCATTTATCTCATGAAACCATGCGGCATTTATCTCATGAAACCATTTATGAAAACCATGCACCATTTATCTCATGAAAACCATGCGGCATTTATCTCATGAAACCATGCGGCATTTATCATGAAACCATGAAACATGCTATTTATCTCATGAAACCATGCGGCATTTTATCTCATGAAACCATGCGGCATTTATCTCATGAAACCAATGTATCTCATGAAATGCATCGATCTCATGAAACCATGCGGCATTTATCTCATGAAAAATGTGGCAATTTATCTCATGAAACCATGCGGTATTTATCTCACATTTATCTCATGAAACCATGCGGTATTTATCTGCATGTGGCATTTATGAAACCATGCGGTTTTTATCTCATGCGATATACAGTGGGATGGATACAGTGGAGAAGAAATTAGAATCCCTGTCAGTGTTTATTGCTACTAAAGAGGACACAAGTGGTGTATCAAAAACAACAAACAACAAGATAAATGAAGTAAATACAAATTATCTTTCTAAATTTCAAATACTGAATGAATATAGTATCAAAAATCACACACGTATATAAATACCCTTCTTCTCAACAATGTTTGTTTTTATTATTAGTGGAAGAAAGGTATTTATATATGTGTGCGATTTTTGATACTATTTTCATTCAATATTTGACATTTAGAAAGATATTTTATATATTTACCTAAAGTATAACTAAAGGAAAAACATTGTTTTTTAGCTTTGGATAGAGTAAAGAGGTATTAGAACACCTATTAGGTTTTTATTGCAGTCTCTGCCCCCATTAGGGAGATTCACCTTCTCTATTTGTCCTGTTTATCATTATCATGAAGGTAAATCTCCCCAATGGGACCAAAAACTGACAGGGGTTCTAACCCTCCTTTACTCTATCCAACATGAAAAATAAAGTTTTGACTTTAGTTACACTTTCAAACAGCCTTTCTCAACCTTTCCAATACAGAGGAACCCTTGGAATAGTTTCCAGTCTCAGGAATCCCTGTTAATAATGACTGTATCTACAGCTCATGATACATTAGTGTGATGGTCAGTGGGAAGAATGCTCCTTACACTTGTGGTCACTGGGAAGAAGTACCCCCTTATAGATAGCTAAAAAGATCAATGGTGTCTGTGGGAACTTGTCATGGGAAGATATCTCTAAAAATAATTGTGAAAAAGTAAAGTATCCCCACTACGTATGACATATGTTCTAACAAGCGATTAGACCATTGTGATATGCATGTACATTGTATTATGTTTGGAGTGATTGGGAAGGTTTTGCAGCAAATGACATATATGCTTGTATATTCACACAAAAACTTATAAATCTTGCAAAATAACAGGAGAAAATAAGGAATATTTTACTACATGTGTGTGGAGTTGATCTACTAAGGACACATAGGACTGAGCCTTTTTGTTAGTGTAGTTGCTCCACAACTTAATAAATGGGGGGAGCTTGCTGATTTCCATCATCCAAATCATGTGCAAGAAAAAATGCTGTTTTTTCCTTGCATGTGATTGGGTATTACTTGTAAAGTGAAGCTTTACCTCATGTACTAAGCTCTGGAACAACTTGTCTATTTGCCTTAAAGTAGAGCTATAGGCAACACTTTTATTTTCATTTTGGATAGAGTAAGGGAGGGTTATAACCCTGTAAAATTTTTTCAAATTTGTTTGCCTGTGTCCCCATTGGAGGATGTCCCCACTATTACTTTTCTGGGGACAACCCAAAATTTTAGATTTTCTTTAACTTATACTTTCAAAGATAATGGTAAATAGGACAAGTAAAGAGGGTGAATCTCCGTCACGGGACACAGACAGCAAATAAAAAACCTGACAGGTGTTCTAATCCACCTCCATTAAATCCAAACATAAAGCAAAAAATGGTCTTTAGTTATTCTTCCAGTAAATCAACCCCAATGATTTCCATATTTCAATATTTAGGCTTCTATACATTACTGTTCAGAGAACTGATCCAAAAGGCAGAGACGACTCAAAATTGCCTTTTATATTTTTACATTCCTTAAATATCGCATGCTCTCTGGACCACTACTTAATTACTACATCCATTTATTTATTTCATTCTGTGAACTGACTTTAACACCTTTTCATACAGTATTTACCAAGGGTTTTGAGCATTTTGCGGTATATACAGAAAAATTGTATGTATAGTGAATTGACAGTTGCAGGATCGCAAGCGGTATTTAGGCAAAATGTGTCCAGACACCTAAATATCACATGCAATTTGCTTCTGTGAATGGAGCCAATTATCACTTAAATTTACTTCTTTTTGGCTTTTTGTAAAGTTTTTATATTCTTTAATTTCATGGAAAGAAATCAAGAAGAACTTAAACTAAAGCAAAGAATTGAACTGGACTCATTGAAACAACAGCACCAGCAGGAGATCCAGTCCATAGTGTCCAAGTTTAGCAGCGCTCAGACTTTCCTTCAGGCAAAGATTGTTACCTTGGAAGCTGAGTAAGTTCATGTAAACCTACAGTGTGACATACTTGGTTCAGTTTGACACTTTGATGATCTTTTAATATACCAGATTTGTAGAAAAAATAATTAAAATGACGTGACTTACTAGTATTACTACACTGAAAACCACCAGAAGATCCTGGAGACATCTTCTACCCTTCCTTGTTCTTTTTAGATAGATGATTGCTTCCCTAAGAGAGAAACCGATACACTATTGGTTTACTGCAGCAATTGATAAGCTGTGAGAACAGAGGAATATTGAACTAAATGCAATACATACACTCACCAGCCACTTTATTAGGTACACCTATTCAATTGTTTGGTAACACAAATTGCTAATCAGCCAATCACATGGCAGTAATTCAATGCATTTAGGTATCTAGGAGAGGTGAAGATGCCTTGCTGAAGTTCAAACCGAGCATCAGAATGGGGAAGAAAGAGAATTTAGGTGACTTTGAACGTGGCATGGTTGTTGGCGCCAGACAAGCTGGTCTGAGTATTTCAAAAACTGCTGATCTACTGGGATTTTCACGCACAACCATCTCTAAGGTTTACAGAGAATGGTCAGAAAAAGAGAAAATATTCAGAGAGCGCCAGTTGTGTGGACAAAAATGCCTTGTTGAGGTCAGAGGAGAATGGGCAGACTGGTTGGAGATGATAGAAATCAAATAACTGCTTGTTACAACCAAGGTATGCAGAATACCATCTCTGAATGCACAACACATCGAACCTTGAAGCAGATGGGCTACAGCAGCAGAAGACCACTCCAGGTGCCACTCCTGTCATCTAAGAACAGGAAACAGAGGCTACAATTCGCACAGGCTTACCAAAACTGGACAATAGAAGACTGGAAAAATGTTGCATGGTCTGATGAGTCTCGATTTCAGCTGCATAGTGAAAAAGTATACCTTATGGCTCCAAGCTATGGATGGAAGGAAAAGGGTCACCCCACCAGCAAGTAAGAAGAGGGCAGCATGAGTCCGAGTGATTCCAGTGTCAGCCAATACAAGTGAAGGGATGGATGCTGCTCAACTTACCCCAGGAGTCCAAGTTGAGGAATGACCTCAGTTGCCATTCTGACCACGCCCTCTGACATGTTTCACCCCGCCCACTGGGACTTGGTCACAGAAGTCGATTTCAGCTACAACATTCAGATAGTAGGGTCAGAATTTGGTGTAAACATCATGAAATCATGGATCCATCCTGCCTTGTATCAACTGGTCATGGATGTGTAGCCGACAATTGTGCAGCAACTGCGTGATGCTATCATGTCTGTATGGACCAAAATCTCTGAAAAATGTTTCCACCACCTTATTGAATCTGTGCCCCAAAGAATTGAAGCAGTTCTGAAGGCAAAAGGGGGTCCAAACCAGAATATAAGTACCTGCAATAAATTATAATAAATAAATACTAGCAAGGTATACCTAATAAAGTGGCTGGTAAGTGTATGTTTTGTGTGTAGCTCACAGACCTGATTTGTCTGGCAATTTTGATCCCAGGTTCTGATCCTTTTATGGAGCAAGCAGCCAAGCACAGGGTATTTTTAGCCAGGTGCAAAAACTCTCACTCAGTCCTCAGACAGTAACCAGGCAGATAGTTTCTTTTTTTGTTGTTTTATTTGTTTTGTAGAACTGGGATATGGATTGGGTGAAGTTTTGGGATGCCAGGAACTAAATAACTTGAATGAGGACACTGTCTTGAAGCAATTAAGCAGAGTAGCACAAATTTCTCTGTACAAAAGGTAGCACACAGCTTTTAACACAAGGCCTTCCTCTAAGGCACAACCCTGGCAGAAAGTCTGGAACAGTCCCTCTAGTAAGAAAGGGGGTACAGGCAACAGTCTTCCTCCTGAAAATTCTCTAAGGCCTACTCACTGTGGTCCAGGCAATCTGAAGGCCTCCTCTCAGCTTCAGTTTGACTCTGGCTTGGAGTTTCCCAGGAAGATCCCCTCTGGGTGTTGCCTTAGGTGTTCCTGTGACTTTTCAGGCGATCCTATGGCTCCTCAGTGAGCTAGGATCATCCAGGACTTCTTAAGGCCTCTCCTAAGCCTTGGAAGGTTTAACAGTACAGATACTTGTCTACAGGAGCAATGAAACAATCAGATTCCAAACTCTCCACCATGGCAAAGACCAAAGAGCTGTCCAAGGATGTCAGGGACAAGACTGTAGAACTACACAAGGCTGGACTGGGCTACCAAACTATTGCCAAGCAACTGGGTGAGAAGGTGACAACAGTTGGTGCAATCATTTGCAAATGGAAGAAACACAAAACAACTGTCAGTTTCCCCAGGTCTGGTGCACCATACAAGATCTCACCTCGTGGAGTGTCAACGATCATGAGAACAGTGAGGAATCATCCCAGAACTACATGTGAGGATCTTGTCAATTATCTGGGACCACAGTCACCAAGAAAACAATTGGCACACACTACGCTGACAAGGATTGAAATCCTACAGTGCCTGCAAGGTCCCTTTTCTCAAGGAAGCACATGTCCAGGTCTGTCTGAAGTTTGCCACTGAACATCTAAATGCAGCAGAGGAGGACTGGTTGAAAGTGTTGTGGTCAGATGAGAACAAAATCGAGCTCTTTGGCATCAACTCAACTCGCCGTGTTTAGAGGAGGAGGAATGCTGCCTATGACCCCAAGAACACCATCCCAACTGTCAAACGTGGTGGTGGAAACATTCTGTTTTGGGGGTGTTTTTCTGCTAAGGGGACAGGACAACTGCACCGCATCAAAGGGACGATGGATGGGCCAATGTACCATCAAATCATGGGTGAGAACCTTCTTCCCTCAGCCAGGGCATTGAGAATGGGTCGTGGATAGGTGTTCCAGCATGACAATGACCCAAAACACATGGCCAAGGCAACAAAGGAATGGCTCAAGAAGAAGCACATTAAGGTCCTGGAGTGGCCTAGCCAGTCTCCAGACCTTAATCCAATTGAAAATCTGTGGAGGGAGCTGGAAGTTCGAGTTGCCAAACGTCAGCCACCAAACCTTAATGACTTGGAAAGGATCTGCCAAGAGGAGTGGGCCAAAATACCTCCTGAGGTGTGCAAACCTGGTGGCCAACTACAGGAAACGTCTGACCTCTGTGATTGCTATCAAGGGATATGCCACCAAGTACTAAGTCATGTTTTGTGAAGGGGATCAAATATTTATTTCCCTCATGAACATGCAAATCAGTTCATAATTTGTTAGACATGCATTTCTTTTGAATTTTTTGTTGCTATTCTGTCTCTCAGTGATACAATACACCTACCATTCGATTTGTAGACTGATCATTTCTTAGTAAGTGGGCAAACATTGAAAATCAGCAGGGGATCAAATACTTATATCCTTCACTGTATTTGATCTCTTTATAACACAGAGATCATATATTTCTTGTAAGGAGTTGGCACTATTGGTGTCTGGAGATTTGGGAGCACTGTATGTTCAATTTCAGAACCAAAGCTTTTTATCAGGTTCAAGTTGCTCTTAGGGCCTTATTTGGACACTCGGTGTGGACTTTATTTTTCACCTTTAAAACATTTTTTTTTCTTAATTATTAATGTGCAGTAATATTGAATTGGTTGTTTTACTAGCATGGTTTAGGATCATATTGATTGAGGTACTGTACATAATAAGTATATAGTCATATAGGTGTTATTTTGGTTTTACATGGTATTGTGCACTGTTAGTTTTATTTTTTCTGTAATTGGATTTACTGGGTGCTGCATTTCCACGATACACCAACTGCATTCGATTTTTTGATTTATGGCTTTGCTGTAATGTAAGCATTTAATTTTTTGAAAAATAGTGTTGTTAGTCTGTCAGTCCAGTAAACTGTATATAAATGAGAAATGTGACAGCACCTGTGACTGACAAACATTGTTTTTGCAGTTTTTTTTCAGAGATTTTATAATTTCTGCCTTTTTTACAGATAAATTTTAGGTTAGCTTTTGTTGACAGAATTTCTTAATTCTAATTCCCTAAAATAAATAATAACAGACATAATTTGTTTTTAAAGATCAGGTTCAGGATTTCTATATTGTTGAAGGATAAAGATATATCTGTAGCTGATCATATTGGGTTCTTTAGTCAGACTTCAAACTGATTTCTTGGTTTATGTATACAGGCTGAAGGAGATGGAAGATAAGGCGAAGAAGCAGCCTCGGATGGAAAATCTGCAGCTTATAAACAGCTTGCAGGATAAACTGGCTGATAAAGATCAAATTATTAAACACCTGCTGGTAAGATTATCCTATTATACACATTATTTCTCTTGAAAGTACACCTGTTGAGGATCACATTATTTTTTTCTTTTGAATTTGAATGCTTTATGGAAGAATTGGGAACTCCAACCAGACTAATCTTATATAATCTCTGGTTTTATGCATATGGGGTTTTCTTTCCTGATTTTGAGATGCAGCAATGAATGTTGTAGGTTTTGTTTAAGCAGCTGAGAAAAGTTTCTGGCATCAAAGGGAGAAAACATTTGTCTTGTTTTGAACAAAGTTGTAGTCAAAATACAGACCTACCAACATTCCTGTCTGAGAACAAGAGAGTTTAAGGCCCCTTTCGATTGGATTTGCCTGCCAGTTTTTCAGGTGGACCTGATCGGACCATCCATAGCCCTCTATGGACCCACCGGCATCTGATCCTGTATGCTCAAAACAGATGAATGGGGATCCATTCCCCATCCATCTGGCAGATCAGATCGACAGTCGAGTGGAATCAAATAGGCTGTCCATTTCCATCTGACCGCCCCATAGAAAACAGCGGGCTGTGTCTGTGTCGGCTCTGCAGCAGAGATCCCCCACTGTGCAAGTGGATCCGCTGACGTGTCCACCCCATCTGAAAGTTTCCTAAGACTCCATGCAAACTGGGCTTAAAAAATGCCAGTTTAGCATTTTTTCTGCCAGAAAGCTCCAATCAAAAACGCAAACCAGAAAATGTTTTTTTCCTGCCTCTAAACGTTGAGCTTAAAATATGCCTCTAATCGTCCTAATGTGCATGGACATATAGGATAAGGCCCCATGTACACAGGACACTTCTGAACGATGGAAAGTGACTGCTGGAAAACATAGATTAAAAACATCTGTTTAGCCGCGTTTGCATAACGCATTTATGTGCGTTTTCGTTTAGAAGCATTTTTTTAAAGATAAGCACGGGAGAACTTCTCAAATGCCCAGAATGCACTGAAAAGTGGTAAATTATTAACTATTTCAGACTGTTTCAGAGAAATACAGAGAGTAGAAGCAGAGACAGCAGTATGTGTTGAGATAATTAGGTGTGAGTTGCTCATTAACATTTCTTTTGTTTCCAAGGGTGGGAAGGTGTCTGGTGGAGGGAGTCATTAAGGTCACCTGGCAGGGGGTCTTCATGAGGAATTTGAGGTGTGAATGAGCATTTTTTCTTTTGTTTCCAAGGGTGGGAGAGGTCTGAGGTGTGAATTGGTCATGTGTGACAAGCTTGGTAGGGACATCCTGTGTGCAGTGTTTTGTCCATCTGAGCACCTTGAAAACTCTTTGCATGCATTTTTCATAATGAAAAAAGGCTCTGGACAGCATTGGGAACTGAAGAGTTAAAAAAAAAATTTCGACCGCAAATGCTTATAAACGCGATTTGTCGCATTTAGCCTCGTTTACAAGCATTTTGTGTTTGAAACGCTGATAAAATCAACGTCTGAATGCAAGTTTGTTGTGTTAAAAAAAACTACTGTAAACTCAACTGCCTGTAAATGACTGTAAATAAAGATGTGTACATGGACACATAGGAAAATATTAGGGTAAGTTCAGGGGCTGCCAAAAAAAAACGCTGAACAGCTCCTCATCGTGAGTTTAGCAGCTGCAGTGTACATGAGCCCTAACACTGAGCTGCTTCTACAAGCAAAACACAAAGCGCCTGTAGAAGCAGCAATTTGTAAGCCAGTGTGCATGGAGCCTTTGTGGGTTGTGATGTGCAAAATTACATTTAGGTCCGCTACTGCCCCAGGCTGCTTTCATTAAAGATGAATTCCAGCTATGGATATTTTATAACAAGGATAGGATGATGGCCACTGTTCACACCAAATGATTTTTCAGGATATGTGATGGAGAGGAAAAGTGGTCTGTATTGTAAGGTTCAGTGCTAAGGAGGACATTAAAAAGCGTATTGTTTCTTTAGTATACAGGAAGGAGCTTCCTGCAATAAATAGACCCCTTAGTGTTGCATTAATGTTACACATTGGCATGCGTTAAGGCAGCTCATTCATGTTTTTTATGCTGAATACTGCAATGCACAACAATCCAATGACACTGCATTAGTGTGTTGGGGTGCCATTCAATATGAATGGCAGGGTTGGCATTGATGTGGTGAATGTAGGAGTGCACTCCTAGCTGTGGGAGATAATCTAGTTATGTGGCTTCTGGACATCCCTTATCTTATGCAAGGCACATTTTATGTTGGAATATTACAGTAATGCACAGAAGCTTGTGTGTTGCCATACGTTCTGGTAACTTGTGTTGAAGGAGCCTTAAAAGTATGTGTGTACGTTTCCAGAACCCATATAACCAAAATATCATCTGACACAGGCTCCTTATAGGGTACATGTGCTTTCATACATCTAACCTAACCCTCCCTCAGTGGCATAGAAAATATATGTACAGTCAGGGGGAAAAGTAAGTACACCCCATGGAAACTGTTGACTTTTTCAACATATTTGAACAGTCAAACATTAGATCTTCATTCAAACAGTGCTAACAAATAAAGGGGACATATTAGAAAAAGGTCATAAGTGACAAGCCACAGTCATTCTCATAATCTAAATAAATTACATTGTAGATTTGTCACATGGAAAATGTAAGTGCACTCCTACATTTAGTAGCACATCAAATCCTTCAAATTAGTATCAGGTTTTTCTGATTAGGTGCAACTGATAAGAACAGTTTCCATGGGTATAATTGTAACCAAGGGGAAGGCCAGCAACCCAAAGTGCCCCAGTTGGGAAATACAACCTTGGTGGTCATTGAGTTGTGCTCAGTTGCAAAAGGCTAGATGTTCCTAACCAGGAAACTCACAGGCTTGGTCACTGGAAAGGAGTTCATTCCACCAGGATAACCTCCACAGTCTATATGCTGGCTACTTCTGGCTTCCTCCACACAAACATCAGGAATCCCTTGTCGCATATTACCTGGGCAGAACAACAAGGGTTGAAGGAAAGAAAATTGCTTGATTCCCCCATCAACACACAGTCAGGGGAGCCCTCCCCACCCACAGAATACAATGATCACTGATGGTGACTAGAGCCACCGGCAGTGATCGAATAAGAAAAAAACTGACAAGCTGCTTGTACTGAAGTCAATCAATATATTGACTTCTGTACAATCAGCCTGGCCAAAGATGGATCGAAATTCCGTCGGTTCCTGCTGAACTGGTCACATTTTGATCCATCTATGGCCAACTTCACACATAAGGGACCTACCTAGTACATGCTTTCTTTTTCACATGACTGTAAATCTCAGATACTTGTATGTACAGACCTCAGATGCTGATTAATAGTGATCTAATTTCCATGGCCAGAGAGTATATAGCCTACAGCAGTGCAGCAATGTAAAATGCCACGTGTGCACTTGCCCTGGTCATAGAGAATATTGACAGTCTCTGTTAACCATTAAATTTCCCCGTGATAATTCTGATCTAACTCCTTTTTCTTTATTTAATAGCTAATAGACTTTTCCCTGCTCTGAGCCCTCATAGGATTGCTACTAAAATGCGTAACTATAAATGGCCACCTTGACTATAGATTTTTTGTAATCACACAATTTCATCCATCTGTAAAATAAATGAGCATTACCTCTGTGTCATTAGGTATTGATTCCTTGTTTTTCCCAGTTACAATCAGGTACATCCAGCTACCCCCTTTAGACTTTCCTGCCCTAGGCCTATCCAAAAAGCCATGCTATGGGTTAATGCGTTTGACACATTATTTTTTTACTTGGCACCGTTACAGAATAAGCCCATGACCTGCTTAAAAAATCCTAGGTACTCTGCCAATACTGCAGTAATATATGAATCTAAGCTCATTAGTGTGCTGTCAGCATTAGATGTCAGTACAGACTTCATTATAGAAGCTGCTTTGTCCTGTTGTGTGATGGTAAATTAATTCATAATCTAGACTGTCTAAATGTAACAGGAGGGGATGTATATGTAACACTTGTTTGTCAAGAAAGACAGTGTGTGAATGCATGTGCAAACTTTATTAGTACAACGTTATACTAAAAACCAATCAAAAATAGACATGAGCAAGCTACAACCTGAAAAGTGTGATCAGGGCATATCTAGTCAAGGATAGCAAAGAAGAAATAAAAGAGATTTTGTTATAACTGTACATTTTTCTAATCCCATTTTCTGTGAATCTGTGCTTTTCCCAGGGCAATGTAAAATACCTAGTACTTCCAGGTATAGGGGAACAGATGACTCTCCTCTTCCTATCACATTGCAGCACTAAGTGCCTGAGTGGTCAATTGAGAGGTCCAAACCATGTCATATGGGGGGTCCTTAGCACCCGGTGTAAAGTCTGACCAGATTGTCTTGGAGCTTACATGCAGTTTCTTCTCTTCATGCCGGCAACCCTGTTGTTTTGTCTTGTGTGCACAGGTTTACTTTAACCACTTGCCCACCTGAGGATTTACCCCCCTTTCTGACCAGGCCATTTTTTGCGTTGCGGTGCTGCCTTACTTTAAATGACAATTGCGTGGTCATGCAATGCTGCACCCAAATTAAATTCACGTCCTTTATTTCCCACAAATTGAGCTTTCTTTCAGTGGTATTTGATCATCTGTACATTTTTTATTTTTTGCGCTATAAAAAAAGACTGACAATTTTGAGAATTAACAATATTTTTGACTTTTTGCTATTAAACATGTCCAGTAAAAAAAAATTTAAAAATCTAATTTTGTCATAAATTTATGCCTAAATGTATTCTGTTACATGTCTTTGCTAAAAAAAAAAATCCTTATATGTGTAAATTAATTGGTTTACGTGAAAGTTATAGCATTTAAAAATGGCGTTATATATACTGGGATTTTGTTTGTTTTTTTACTAGTAATGGCGGCGATCAGTGACTTATAGCGGGACGGCGGCGGACATTCTGACACTGGAGGGAACTGACTTGGTGTCACTGACATCCCCAGTGACATCGATACAGTGATCAGTGCTAAAAAAAAGCACTGACACTGTAGTAATGGCACTGGGCAAGAAGGGGTTAATATGAGGGGAGATCAAATGGTTAACTGTGTGCTGGGTGTATTATACTATGGGGCAGTGTGTTTGTAATCACTGTAATCACACTGCTTTGCATGGTTATGCTGTGCACAGCCATCCAAAGCAGTATGCAGGAGCTGACAGGGAGGAGAACTGTTTTGTTTACAAACAGTTCTCCTCCCCGTTGGAGATGCTCAGCTTACATGGGGGTGGTGTCAGTATGCTTCACTGTCATCACACTGCTTTGGATGGCTGTGCGGTGCACAGCCATCCAAAGCAGTGTGCCCGAGCTGACAGGGAGGAGAACTGTTAGTAAACAAAACAGTTCTCCTCCCCATTGGAGATCTTCGGGACCCAGTGATTGACAGCCGTGGCCGTGAATGGCGCGTGCCCCTTACCCGTAAATGCAAAATCACGTGTATATACATGTGATTTTGCGCACCTGTGCCACCCTGTAGCAGTATTTCTGCTATGGGAAGTGGTTAAAGTACAGGGGTTAGACAAAAAAAAATGAAAACACTACATGATTTGCAGCTGTGAAAGAAAGTGGAAGCGATATAACATTCTTTTGCTTCTGCTGTGTGATGAGACACCTAGCTAACAGGTGGGAAGCCTTACTTTCTTCATTCACTGTGTGCTGCTAGTAATCTGGAGTCATGTCAGAGTTTACTGAGCTTCAAAGAGGGCAAATTGTTGGTCCCCGCTTAGCTGGTGCCTCTGTGACTGAAATTGCCACTTTATTTGCTGTGTCATGAGGTACAGTATCAAAGGTTATGATGGCATATATAGTTTCAGGAAAAACGTCATCTGATAGGCATAAGTGCGGTGGACATGGTCATCTGACCGAAAGAGACAAAAGGACATTGTGCAGGATTGTGACCCATATTAAGAAAACAACTGCTGCAAAAGTGACTGTAGAGCTCAATCTCAGTCCCATGAAGTCCTAGTGACTGTTTGCTGCTACTATCCCTTGGGCATCAGTGCTAGAGTCTACTTTGAGTGGGATATTCCTTATGGTGTCTCAGTGCTGCTCATTCCCTTAGCTGTTACTAAAAGGACTGTCCTAAGAAGTTCTGACAAAATGAGGAGTAGCCTCTGATTATTGCACTGTTTTACTGGAGTACCCCCTGTACCCTATCCAAGTTTATTCAGCAATAAATAACAAAGAGACACCCCTAGGCTATCCACTGAGCCAGAAGAGTGACTGTTGCTGTGAGCCTGGCTGCTTCTATATTAACTTGGGCCCTTTAGGGGGTGAACTCTACAAATCCAACATAGTTTTACTTAAAATGAAATACATGAGATGTTCACCAATTATTTGAATTGTACAGAAACAATAATCTTCTCATGCCTGCTAACTAGGCTGGTCGCTTATTGAGAGAACATGAAGAAGAAAGGAGGGGTCTATATAGGGATTAAACCAGTGTTTCTCAACCTTTTCTCAGTCAAGGCACCCTTTAAAATTATGGACAGTCCCAAGGCACCCTTTAAAATTATGGACAGTCTTGAGGCACCCCATTCTAAAATGGGGTGCCTCAAGGCTGTCCATATATTTAAATGGGCACCACAGTCTACAATGTGAAAAACGATTCTAATAGTTTTTATATAACAACATCCACACATGTAGGACACCCAACATTAGAAGTGAGTTATTCTGCAAAAGCAAATACACTTTTGCACATTGGTACTGACTAGTATTCCAATGTTTCTCTTCTCCCTCAGTTTTTATCCATCACTGAGCTAATGTGACCCCAGCACTGATGGAGAGGGGCAGGGGAGGGTCAAAGTAGGATGCTGTGCGGGCAGCTGACATCCTCCTTATCAACTGATGATGTCATTGGTTGTGAGGATGTCGGCGGCTAGAAGGTCATAATTGTGCACAATGGCAACCTGTATCTTTGTGTAACTAAAAGGCAGGCTTGTTCAACCCACTGGCTTGTATACAAGTTTTGGGCAATTTTTAGACATTTTGCCAAGGCACCCCTGAAGAAACCTCAAGGCACCCCAGGGTGCTTGTTGAGAAAGGCTGGATTAAACTAACTAGCCCCAACATACAGGAAATCTGGAATATACCATTTACAGACATAAAATAACAAGCTCTAGTTACACTGAACTGCCGCTAGATATAAGTACCAAGGCATCAATACATACATGATAAAATCCAATGCAACAGTCATGGATACCCCATATGTGTTGCTGAACACATCCAGTAAACAATTTATGCTGTACATATGGTAAAAAAAATTATACATGGATTATTGTTGAGGCTGCAAAACCAATAAATGAGCACAGATACCACAACACTGCTAGATACAATAAACAGCACACACCGGTAGCATAACAATAGCCATATCAGCCCAGGCATCTGTTATGGGGCATGTTGTAGAAGGGAGCCCCATTAGGGAGGCTGCTAAGGAAAAATACTAAAGTGTTACATTTCTAATATAGAAGGGCTGAAATCAGGCTGCAGCAGTTGTTGCTAGATACAGATCCCCCTCTGTGAAATAGGAACCATTTGATTATCTGTTTTAGCAGTGTGGATTAGACCTGTATGTCTTATAGATCAAAAATCCAAGAGGTTTTCCTCGGCTAAAACGCCCTAGGGCAGCTGGTATCATGATAGTGATGTTTATTATTGCTGATGCAGTTATGACTTTTATCCACAGCACTGGTGCCCAGGGGCGGACTGACAACTCATGGGGCCCCAGGGCAATAGGGGATCATGGGGCCGCTGTGTCCTTGCCCAAACTCAAAAAAGCCTATGAAAAAGGTACCAGGGGCATCTCATGGGGCCCCCTACTGACCCTGGGCCCTCAGGCAGTGCCCAAGTTTCCAAATGGTCAGTCTGCCCCTGCTGGTGCCTTGTAGTATAGTGACTGTATTGACAGCTCTCTTGTTGCCTTAGCTTAGTTTCGGCATATGTTCTGTTAAGATCAATGGCACACATTGGCACAGCTGACATTTCAAGCTGCTACAGGGAGAGTTAAACTATACACACTGATCCAAGTTCAGCCGGATCAGCATGGATCAGCTTAATTTTGATCAGTGTGTGGCCATTTCTGCTCCACAAAAGTTGATCATTTGATCAACTTCTGTTGGAGGAACATGCTGGAAGACTTCTATTGATCAGTGGCTGCAGCTGCTGATCGGTGTATTCTGACTGTGTCCAGTCCCGCTGTCAGAATACAATGTCCTGGTGGAGGGAATTCCACCAAACACCTCATCGGTGTGACTGGAGGAATGCTAGTTTCTTTTGTTTTGTTCAGCTGGATGAATGAAAAAAAAAATAAAAAATTCTGTATAGCCAGCTTTAGCCAGGAGTGCCATCAAAATTTTACTATGAGATCCCATTATTTGTAGTTATCCCCCTGCGACGCACAAGCATATCAGTAAATAGTTCCTAAAATGGTGTCCGGCAAGGTTTTATCTGCTCTTTTAACATATATAATATAATAATATATAATATTTTCCACTAAATGATTAAACTATACCACCATTACAGTATAAATTATAAAATAAGCATCAAATGCAATAAAAGCATCCCTTGTTCTTGTTGGAAATCTAGGTGAATAATAGAGAAGACCCTCCAGCTAATATATATACGGTAGATTTAAAGCTTTATTTTTTTTTTTTCCAGGAAATTCAAAGCTTTGATGATGACATCGCAATGCCACTTATTCAAGAAACACACAGAAGTCATTCATTTTCCTGCAATCCAAATGGTGGCAGTCTAACACCCACAATGAAGGTAAACAAATCTCATAATATCATATCCAATTGTTTAAAGGGAATCTATGTATGTTTAAAGTGTTTAAAATAGATTGTGATCATCTAACATTTTATTTATTTATTTCAGGTATTTATATAGCTCTGACAATTTACACTTTAGTTATTATGCCCTCACTGAGCTTAGAATCTAAGGTCCATATCTTACATTCACAGAAACACATACTAGGGCCAATTTAGACAGGAGCCAATTAAAATACAGCATGTCTTAGGAGTGTGGGGGGAAACCGGAGTACACAGAGGAAACCCACAACAGCACAGGGAGAACATGCAATCTCCATGCAGATAATGCCCTGACTGGGATTTGAACCGGAGGCCCTAGTGCCTAACTAAATATATATAATGGACATTGAACATTCGAAAGTGTTTTAAAGAGTGCAATGATTTTGCCAAAGGGTAGCCATAGACGGACAGATGTGTCTCTGAGAATGCCATTTGCTCCTCCTGTAGTACTGCCCAGGCCAATTCTGACATTTCTCACTTACATGTAATAATTAGCATTTTTTTAAATGAGATAATTGCTTAAACCCCCTAAACATGATATATTTTCTGAAAGCAAAGACCCTAGAGAAAAAAATTGGTGGTGTTGCAATTTTTTATGTCACACAATATCTGTGCAGTGGTTTACCAAAATACACTTAAATTAATTTTAGTGCACCTAAACACTATATAATACCCAATTTTTGATAAAATATAAAAAATTATGTTTTTCCAAGTAAATAGATACCAAACATGTCACTCTTTAAAACTGCATACACCTGTGGAATGGGGACAAACTATGGTACCTAAAAATCTCCATAGGTGACACTTTAAATGCCTTGACAGGTTACCATTTTAGAATAACAGGAGATTTGACGCTAGAATTATTGCACTCACTCTGACGTTTGCAGCATACACGTGTGGTGCAATCACTGTGTAGATATGCACGTGGGATCTACGTAGGCATTCGTATTCACCTCTTAGCCTGGGGAAACGGGCGCTATAATTTTATTTTAAATTGTATTATTTATTTTATTTAAAATTATTTTTTTTAAATGTTTCTTTAAAGTTTTTGTTTTAGCTTAACTTCAACATCCCTATTTATAGAATGGGCCATGACAGGTCCTCTTTATGGAGAGATCTGGAGTCTATTAGACCCCAGATCTCTCCTCTACCCTCATTAACATACTAATTTTTTTTTTTTAAATAAAACCGGTTTTCATTAATACCTTTATTTTACCCTACTATGTCATCACTAGGTACCTGTACTACTCTATGCAATGAAGGCAGATTATGCCTGGTTGGAGAGGCTGGCAAGATGCTGTACATAGCTTTCCGAAAACATCTCAACACCTTGCCTCAGCACTTCTCTCAAGAGCCCTCAGCCCTGATGCAAGTAGTGAGATGGTTTTTGAAGGTGTTCTAAAAAATATCAAAATGCCTTGATGAGTGGATAGTAAAGTCTGGAGGAGTGGGGGTTCCTAAGTGGGCTGGATTTGCATGCAGACCACCCTAGGCAATGCCAAAATGTGATTAGGAGCCTCCTTTATTGAAAGAACTGAAAACCAATGAATGAAAGGGGCTGTCCAGAAATACTAACGCTGGGGGGAAAGGGCTAGAAAACACTGGGCAAGAAAAGAGACAGGCTGTATATGACTTGCTGCATCTTCTAATGCACACTATGAGATGACCACAGTGTGCAGTGAAATCAGAGTAAGCTATTTCATTGCAGGAGAGGAGTCAGGACTGAAGATAAGGCTGGAGTTCAGATAAAGTACATTGAGTCAGCTATTTACATTAAAGGTATATATTTCTGTCAAAAACTTTCATGTAAGAGAGTGTCTTATTGTTTTGCTTGCAGAAAAAAAAATTAGGTGAGATACCAACCCGTGTGATCAGCGTACCCAATCTGGCGGCGTATGACAAAACCTTTACGAATAACAGTGTCAGCTCGAAAAAGCCAACAAGTCCTGTGAGATCTTCTCCCAGCTTAGCTCACAGCATGAAGCCTGGCTATCCTTTCCGACCACCTGCACAGCTTCTAGATATCATCCGGCCAAATAGGTAATGGAGCTCAAATGTATTAAAAAAAAAAAGAAATCACGCAGGCCCTTTTCTTTGTTACAAATTTTTATAAAATAAAATCCCCTTTCATACTGGAGGACTCTGCCAGCGGATCCACCAGCTCAGCAAGGAATTTGTCCGCAGATGCCCACGGAATAGGCGGATAACACAGCCTACTGTTCCCTATAGGGCGGTCGAATGTAAATGGACCACCACTCTATGAATGGCAATGGATGGTCCGATCAGGTCCACCTTAAAAATGAACAGACAGACCTGATCAGTCCTCCCTTGTGAAAGGGGTCAACACTTAAAAAAAAAAAATAAAATCAGAGAGATCAGAGAAGGTTTGCAGTCATAGAATAGAATACCAGAACACAGTGCAGGATAACCTGCATTCCATGCGCATTTCCCACACTGCATTCAGAATGATCTACAGCAGATGTCAATGCTCAGCTAAAAAAACTCCCAAACACAGGGCACAAACGCAACGTGTTTGCCTGCACTGAATCGCATGGTACAGAGGTACCATTCGATCTGGTTGCAGTGAGTTTCCAAAAGTAGTGCATGCACTACTTTTGGTTTGGGTCAGTGGGGTGCAATTTCAGTCCATTCAAAGTGAACTGATACACTAAACTGTGTATAAATCACACAACACGTTCCACTGCAGTTCCTATTGTGAACTGGCCCTTAAGTCACATACTTAGTAGCAATGATATAAACAAACAGAGAGGGAAGTAAAAGAGAAAAAAACAATTGGTACAATTTAAAAAGGATGTCATATAAGGGGTACCATGTTAAAGCTCCAGAGAAGTGAAGATCACCATATAGTCACCACCTAAGAATACAAAAAGGATAACACATAATAAAGATAAACATTTGACCATAATCAAATCAGGGAAAATGCACAGTTCATCTGCAGCAGGGAGAACCATGGGTTCCATTTATCATCAAATCAAGACTCAGAACCATGAATCCTATGAAATATTTTTTCCATTAACATGATAGTGTCTACTACTGCGGCAGATTTCCAATTAAAAGCAATAGCCCATTGCATGGCTACACAAATTGTATGGATGAGTTTTTCTTAAAAACTCTGGCAGATCAGGAATGCTAGTAAATAATAGGCAATTTTCATGCATCATATTGACCTGTTTTCCGACCAGTATAGCAGTCAGATCAGACTGCCTTATTCCAATGGCTGGTAGTGATCTTATTAATAGAAATAAAAATGTGTTGCACAAGACAAAAAACAACCACGGCGCAAAAATATACATTAAATATATAACATACAAAAGAACTTAAATTGAAAAATGGAATTAAAATAAAAAAAAGTCAATAAACAGTCCCATCCAGAGATGTGCAGGAAAGTGAAACCACTCCTCTTTCAAAACCTTGTATATGTAGTGTCACCGACAACCAATATACACCCAGAGTGATAATAGAATGGTCTCATACCAGCTGCCCATGACCCCCCTTAGACTTAAGAGTGGTCATAAAACGCTTATGTAATCTCTCAGAGCATCTGAGACACCTTCCAGGCCACCTCAGTATCACCGAAGAACACCATCAATAAGCTAGGTATTCCCACATTAAAATTAATGTAAAACAAGAAAGGGAAAGCCTCTCCATAGTGTAAAACCTTTTTAAAATGATTTATTGTAGCCAATAAATACACTCACATAAATAAAAACACATGCATATGTACATATACACACTGGACCACCATCAGCACCCACTTCCTTGAATGCGATAAAGCATGAAGACCTCAGTTGGAGGCTCCTACCAGCGTGTTTCGTCATTAAAAGTTTTCTTCCACAGCAAACTAGTGATCTGATTAGGCTAGAGCTACCCAGTGGATTTTTAGTAGCTCAATCCTGCTCTTAAATCACTAGTGATAAATCTCTATCAGAAGCAAACAATCCCTAAATAAATGGAACAAATGGCTTGCTCTGTAGCAGGATCTTATAGCAGTCACAGATGAATGGATCATTGTTCTATCATGTGAAATTGATTGTAGGGATGAGCACAGCTTTGGTCTGATCTTGGGTTCCGACTGAACCTGGAAGGAAGCTGTCACTCCTGCCTACCCAATCAACTGTGTCCAGAGCATTCTACGCCCTACAGCTGCATGTACACAAAGGGAAGGGGATGCTCGTGATATCATTGTTCTAATATAATTACATGGCTATATGAAGTCACAAGCATCCCTGCCCCTTAGTGTACATGCAGCTACAGGGTGCGGAATGCCTTGGCTACAGTTGATTAGGTAGCAGTAGGCGAGATTGACAGCTTCCAGAGCAAACCCATGTTCACCCTTAATTGATTGCTATTACATGCTACTTGTGCAAATGTCAAATAGGGAGCTGGGAGTTGATGCTTACCATAATTAACCCTGTCTGGACTGTGCTGACAGATCTCATTATCCCTTGGTATGTAAACTTGATGTGCACACTGTTTGTCCTATCAAAGGGTCAAAGATCTTAAGGCTTGGGTGATACAGTTAATGCACTTGAAAAAAGTCCCTCAGTCTGTCCCCTAATTGCAAATAGAGTCCTATGTATAAACCTGCTCCAAGGACACAACTAGAAAAGTTAGAAAGTATTTTTAAAAGTATTTATAGGTAAGCAGTGTGAATTTAACCACTTCAGTATCAGACACTTTCATCCCCTTCCTGCCCAGGCCAATTTTCAGATTTCACCGCTGTCAGATAGAGACAGATAGAGCTTTCCTTTGGTGGTATTTAGTTACACCGGGGTTTTTAGTATTTTGCTATATTAATGAAAAAATACCAAAAATGTTGGAAAAAACACCACATTTTTCCTAGTTTCTGTTATAAAATTTGACAAATAAATTATATTTCTTCATAAATTTAGGCCAAATGTCTGCTACATTTCTTTGGTAAAATTAACCCAAATCAGTGTATATTATTTACTCTGGGTGAAAGTCATAGAGTCTACAAACTATGGAAATTGATAATTTCTTGAGGCCCTTGAATGCCAGGACAAATACCCCCCAAATGACCCTTTTGGAAAGTAAACAGTCCAAGGTATTTAGTAAGAGGCATGGTGAGTTTTTTTATTTTATTATATTTTTTGTCACAAATTTTGTGGAAAATGAAGACTTTAAATAAATTTTATTTTTTTCACAATTTTTGTTTCACATATTATTACTAGAGCAGTACATCGTCATCATATGGCTGGTGTGCAGGTGATCAGGGAAACTGTCTGGTGACAGTATGAAAAAAATGTTTAATGATTTTCAAACTTTTTTTTTTCTTTTACAATTTTGTTTATACTCCTTTTGTTTACTTTTTTTTATGGTCAATACTGTGACCAGAGCTGTACAGTATCACCATATTGACACTGTACTGCTCTGGGGAGTTGATCAGGATCCACTGTGATTGTCCCTGTACCATGTGCTCACTGTGACCAATCTAACGTGATTGGTGTGATTGGTGATAGCAGTTATATGGTACCAGGGCTGGCCTGGTACAACGATCTGTCTTCCACTGTGTCTTGCGGACATCCTCCCAGGATACTGGACCTCCTGCCCAGCTATATTAATATAATAGGCCAGGTGGGAGGTGGTTAAACACAAACAAATAGTGGAGATTTCTCAAATTTGACTGCAAAAGTGGATATACATTTTAAAGGAAACATGTAGCTAGAACAAAAATTTCAGTCCGGTTAATTGGTTAGTGTGGTTACCTATAACAGTCCAGGCCAGTTGTTAGCTTTTTGTGCAGGTGGGACAGAGCCAGTAAACATGGTCATGGCTATGCTTACTAGAGAAACCCTAATTTAAAGGGTATTGCCACATTCTGCAGGAGATGAGGTGTGGACTGCAGGCTTATGAAGTTAGCTACCTTTTTTAACTTTTTTTTTTTATTTTAGAACTTTGTATTATGTTTAAAAAAGTAGAGTAATGCAGACAAAGGATGGATTTGGAGATCAGTTGAGTACAGTGTCACCAAAGCAAGTACAACATTGGTGTTAAAGTAGAGCTTTGGGGCAGGGAATGACCTGGCTCGCAACTCATTGGAGTGCAAAAAAGCAAGCATTCAGGTTAGAGATGAGTTCGGAGGCCAGCCAGGCTCACCTCTAGTTACAAGAAGTAAGAAAAACATTGTACAATCAACTGCTCTGGCCTTATACCTCAGGGATTTTTTTCTGATCCTCCAGACAGCACTCACTTTTGTGCACACATGCACTGACTCTAGAGGCTACCAGCTGTATTGACTCACACTCTGACTCCTCGGAGGAGACCTCACTATCCCCACAAGGAGCCCTGGGCTACAGTCAGCTCCCATAATAAAACCTTTGTGTACACCTGCACAATCAGTAGGTGCTGGTTACCACCAAAATGTGAACCGAGGGTTGGAGACTTCATCCCACCCAAAACTCAACATTTCTGGGCTGCAGAACCCAGACTAGGACTCACGGGGCTGCTGACAAGGGGGTACCACCAATCCTTCTGTACAGGGCCCAGGAAACGTGTGGGGCCAGGGCAGCTTTGTGTTACATTGTAACGTGCAGGTAGTGTTCAAAGCTCGAGAGCAGCTCCTAGATTGGCCTATAGATAAATAACATTTCCTGGGACCTCATCCTTTTATCACTGGGGCCCAGGAGACAGCAGCAGAGCACGAACTCTTTGTTTTTATGTCGGTGCGGAGGCGGACAGCACCGCATTTGCTGACAATAAGTTTAAAGTTCCACCCCCAGCCTGTCCTTCCCTGGTGGAGTGATATGGAAGAGATGCCTGTCTGCCTTGCTTCCTCAGTAAGTGTTGACGGCAGAGGGCAGGACTGTGATGAACTGAAGCCATCCATCAGCAAGGTGCATGGGGTGGGTACACTCAATGCAGGGATCACCCCTCCAGCTGGCTGTCCGCAATGATGAGGAGCTCAACAAGCTGCAGGGCAGCATCACCATCGCCCAGGGAGGAGTCCTGCCCAACATCTTGGCAGTGCTGCTGTCCCGGAAGACCGAGAGCCACAAGCCCACCAAATCCAAGTAAATTAGGAGAATTATTTTATACTACAAAAAACACTGTGCAGGGATCGTAATTCTGGCAGCAGCGGTGGTGGCAGGGGCACAGAGCAGGGCCGGGACAAGGGGGAAGCAAAAGGGCGATAGTAACATGTGATGTGCTGGTGGTGGTGGTGGGGGGGGGAGCTGGGAGGAGCGTTTCTGTAACTACAAGGCTGACAGGAACAGTGACAGCAGCATCACTACTCCAGTTAGCTTAGCACTGGACTAGAGAAGCTAAATCAGAAGAGAGCCGAGAGGAGGTGCAGGATGTACTCTCTCCCCTCTCCAGCTTCATGCTGTCACTGCAGCGCTCTTGCATCAGGACTGTCCCATCGGAACTTTACAGTTTGTTTATCCGCCCCCATCTCCTCCTAGCAAAGAATGTGGATAGGGGAGGGGTAAGCAAACTCTGTAAAGTGCTGATCTGCCAAGCCACAATCCCATCTCTCTCGCCAGCTTCTTGTAGAAAGGGTTAGAAATCGGCTTCCCCTAGGCTCCTCCTCAGCTCTGATGTGTCAAGATGAGGAGGAGCCTAGGAAGGAGGACATGACAGTGCCATTTGCTGCGCTGTATCTGAGGTCTGTGTGTTTGAGGGAGGGGAGGCTGCACTGGGGACACTTGGGAAACAATGTGGAGGGGGGGGGGGGGTGTAGAGTAATAAAGATTTGTGCTGGGGATGAGAGTATTTGTAATAGGAGGGGGAGGGAGAAGATAATTATTTTTAAGTGGGGGGAGGTATTTGTGCTACTACGCTGTGCACGAATGTGACAGTGGGAATAATTTTTGCTGCGCAAAAAGCTTCATAACCGTAGCATCTGTTGTCCCCCTGCACTGTCTTTGCAGCATACGGGGGAGCAGTTGGGGGTCAGTAATGACCCCATAATGAATGACAGAAATGTGTGTTGCAGGAGGACCAGTAAGGTAAGCTGTACGGGGCCCCATGATTTCTAACAGTGGCCCTGAGGACTTCTCAAGCCTCTCACACCTAGTTCACAATTCCTCCCATATTATAATTGTTGCCCCCATGCTAAACTGCACACCCAATGCCATTTTACCTTGTAACCAGGTGCTGGCCTGTCACGGCACAAAACACGCATTGCAGTACCATTCATCAACACAGTAAGGTAGCGCACATGGCGTAGCACACAATACATGGTAGTGTGTTGTGCAATGAGTTTAAAAAAAAAAATAAATGCAATTTTAAGCAAGTCATTATAAATGGGCTGCTCTAATGCATCACACAATAAAGCATGATCCACCATGTGTGTGTGTGATTAGAGCCTGAAATTCTAAGTGGACTTGTCTTTTTATTGACAATCTTTATTTTGTTTGATCCAAGGCGGAACCCTGCCAATGTACCAATAAAAACAGAAGCAAAGGAACAGGAGTCCAAACGTCCTGAATGGTTTACAAAGTATTTTTCATTCTGAGAAGAGTACAAAGCTGAAGTCACCACTGAGCCGATGAATGAGCTGCATTACTACAATGCACACATTTCACTGTCATATGTGTTCTGCTGTAAATTTTAATTTTGTTAATAAAATAATGATGTGAGCTTTTTCATGGTACCAAATTGCTTCTTGGTAATAAAAAAGCAAGAAAGGATCACCTCTCAGATTGTTTTGGTTTTTTTTTTCATTTGTTTTATTTTGTGTTTCTGGTATGGTTGCTGTTCTAAATATACATCAATCAGCCATAACATTAAGATCACTGACACGTAAAGCGAATTTCATTGATCTTGTTACAAAGGCATCTGGAAGTAGAAGGTATCTATTAGGCAGCAAGTGAACATGTTATTCTTGAAGTTGATGTGTTGACAGCAGAAAAATGGGCAACACCGTTTGTTGTGTATGGAGCTGCATAGCCGCAGACCAGTCAGGGTGGCCATGCTCTCTCGTTTCGACAGCCAAAAGTGCCTACAATGGTCATATGAGCATCAGAGCTGGACCACGGAGCATTGGAAGAAGGTGGCCTGGCCTGATGAGTAATGTTTTCTTTTGCATCATGTAGATGGTCGGGTGTTTGTGTTTTGTTTACCTGGGTAAGAGGCAGCACCAGGATGTAGTATGAGAAGAAGGTAAGATGGCAGAGGCAGGGTGATGCTTTGGACAATCTTCTGCTGGCAAACCTTGGATCCTGCCATTCATGTGAATGTTATTTTGACATGAACCACCTACCTAAACATTGTTACTTACCAAGTATACCCCCTTCATGGAAATGGTATTCCCTGATGGCAGTGACCTCTTTCAACAGGATAAAGTCAGGTCCATAAATATTGGGACATCTACACAATGCTAACATTTTTGGCTCTATACACCACCACAATGGATTTGAAATGAAACAAACAAGATGTGCTTTAATTGCAGACTGTCAGCTTTAATGTGAGGGTATTTACATCCAAATCAGGTGAACGGTGTAGGAATTACAACAGTTTGCATATGTGCCTCCCACTTGTTAAGGGACCAAAAGTAATGGGACAATTGGCTTCTCAGCTGTTCCATGGCCAGGTGTGTGTTATTCCCTCATTATCCCAATTACAATGAGCAGATAAAAGGTCCAGAGTTAATTTCAAGTGTGCGATTTGCATTTGGAATCTGTTGCTGTCAACTCTCAAGATGAGATCCAAAGAGCTGTCACTATCAGTGACGCAAGCCATCATTAGGCTGAAAAAACAAAACAAAACCCATCAGAGAGATAGCAAAAACATTAGGCGTGGCCAAAACAACTGTTTGGAACATTCTTAAAAAGAAGGAACGCACCGGTGACCTCAGCAACACCAAAAGACCCGGAAGACCACAGAAAACAACTGTGGTGGATGACTGAAGAATTCTTTCCCTGGTGAAGAAAACGCCCTTCACAACAGTTGGCCAGATCAAGAACATTCTCCAGGAGGTAGGTGTATGTGTGTCAAAGTCAACAATCAAGAGAAGACTTCACCAGAGTGAATACAGAGGGTTCACCACAAGATGTAAACCATTGGTGAGCCTCAAAAACAGGAAGGCCAGATTAGAGGTTGCCAAACGACATCTAAAAAAGCCTTCACAGTTCTGGAACAACATCCTATGGACAGATGAGACCAAGATCCACTTGTACCAGAGTGATGGGAAGAGAAGAGTATGGAGAAGGAAAGGAACTGCTCATGATCCTAAGCATACCACCTGCTCAGTGAAGCATGGTGGTGGTAGTGTCATGGCGTGGGCATGTATGGCTGCCAATGGAACTGGTTCTCTTGTATTTATTGATGATGTGACTGCTGACAAAAGCAGCAGGATGAATTCTGAAGTGTTTCGGGCAATATTATCTGCTCATATTCAGCCAAATGCTTCAGAACTCATTGGAAGCCGCTTCACAGTGCAGATGGACAATGACCCAAAGCATACTGCAAAAGCAACCAAAAGAGTTTTTTAAGGGAAAGAAGTGGAATGTTATGCAATGGCCAAGTCAATCACCTGACCTGAATCCGATTGAGCATGCATTTCACTTGCTGAAGACAAAACTGAAGGTAAAATGCCCCAAGAACAAGCAGGAACTGAAGGCAGTTGCAGTAGAGGCCTGGCAGAGCATCACCAGGGATGAAACCCAGCGTCTGGTGATGTCTATGTGTTCCAGACTTTAGGCTGTAATTGACTGCAAAGGATTTGCACCCAAGTATTAAAAAGTGAAAGTTTGATTTATGATTATTCTGTCCCATTACTTTTGGTCCCTTAACAAGTGGGAGGCACATATGCAAACTGTTGTAATTCCTACACCGTTCACCTGATTTGTAAATACCCTCAAATTAAAGCTGACAGTCTGCAGTTAAAGCACATCTTGTTCGTTTAATTTCAAATCCATTGTGGTGGTGTATAAAGCCAAAAATGTCAGAATTGTGTCGATGTCCCAATATTTATGGACCTGACTGTATATCGCTCTGCCACACAGCAAAAATGGTTTGAAAAACACGAGTTAGAGGTGTAGACTCGGCCTCCAAATTCTCTAGATCTCAATCTATCAAGCATCTGTAAAATGTGCTGGAAAAACAAGTCTGATCAATGGAGGCCCCACCTTACAATGTAAAGCAGAACTCTGTTGCTGATTTCCTACCTTCACTGAATAGGTCATCCATCTTATGGTTCATTCAGTAGTTGCTTTAAAATAGCCTATTCACTTTCAAAACAAACTATTAATTCTCTTTGGTTTCCTGTTTGATTATATTAAGCTTTATTATAAGCTTACCTACAGATAAAAGAATTAAAAAAAAAAAAAAAGTTTACTACCACTTTCATTCTTTTTTGCTGCAATGACTCTCATTTGCTTGCATCGCCTTTGCAAAACCTTCCCTGCTAGGAGGTGATAGTAGACGATCCTGAAATCTGCAGTCATCAACCTTTTGCTGGTGACAATTTGTAACACACTATGGGGTTTATTTACTAAAGCTGGAGAATGCAAAATTAGACTTTCTTCTGCATAGAAACCAATCCGCTTCTAACCTCAGCTTGTTCAATTAAGCTTTGTGAATAAAACCTAGAACCTGCTTTCTATGCAGAAGTGAGCCTGATTTTGCATGCTCCAATTTTAAAAAAGAAACCCCTATATGTTGATTAAGACACTAACTCAGGTTAAATTTGTGTTCTATTTCATTTTGTTGCCTCGCAGTTACAAATATTTAAGTAAGGTTGTACTAACTTTAATGAATTACTAACTACTACTTAGTAATATGGATAGAATGTTCCGTCAAGAAACAATTTAAATTGCACATAATTAAAATTTGTCTAAAAGGTACTTTAACCACTTCCCGTCCAGCCCTTGTACATAAGCGGCTGGACGGGAGCCGTGCAGGAGCGGGTTGCCATTCATAAACAGGATACGAGGATTGTAAGCTCAAGTACCTGAAATAAATAAATACGTTTTAAGCACCTCCTACTGTTAGCACAATTTTATCACGCCTACAATTTCCAGGTAAACATACAACATAATCTAAAAACGTTTACATATGGGAAGGACAAATAGGTTATTAGAGGATTATATATTGAACAAGAAAAAAAATTAAAAAAAAAAAAAAAAAAAAAAAAAGGGAAAACGCTATACTTTGTTAGGAAGGGCAGCTAAGCCATTTCCCTGAAGGAAAAATTCTGAAGGTACCTCAATGGACAGGATGTTTTCCCGTTGTAATCCTCACTTTATTTGGTGTATATGTATACTAAAATGCATGCAACCTTTACATATCTGGCAAACTCTTGCAGTAAAACTGTAGTAAGCGGTCCGCAAATGGCTAAAATGTTTTACATAAAATTTGAATCTACTACCTTTTTTCGTCTCCAGGGTCTCTGCTTTCATATTTGTATATACCTTTTGGGGGTTTGAGTTAATATTGAAACCTAAAAATTTTTTTTTTTTTGGTTTGTTTTACATTTGTAAAAAAAAAAAGTCTCTGGCAGTGAGAGGACTAAAGTAAATGTACATCCAATCTCACACTTCTGTTGTGTGGGGAAGGCTCTTTGTCCTGGTGTCACGTTTTGTCATCCCGTAGAGCCTGCATCTGGCTGATACTATAAGCAGCAGTGTACAGGTGTGATTCATTGTTGGAACAAGTAGGAAGTTTGTCCTGAGGAATGACTTCTGGAAGGCATGCATATAGACCAGAAGTGACTGCAGGAGATCAGCACTGAGAGGCGTTAGGAAACCAAATGCCATCTGGTTAGAAGTTTAATTTACTTTAACATTCAGTTGCATAACAGCCAGACTCCCTTTTACAATCAAATGTTTGGGCTGCATACAGTACAGCTAAACCTGGGCATCCTGGTATCAATGACCTCGGGGCACAATAGAATAGGAATTGCATCAGTTTTGGGACATAAGTCTTTGATCAAGCTGCATAAAAACATTTTAGGTTTTTATTTCTTATGAAAAACAACATACTTAAGTTTATGATACACAGTAGAAAAAAAAAAAATTCTAGTCCTTAACGAACACCTTGTGTATAAAGGAGTACACGGGAGTCAAGTCTGCTTCATAGGAGCAGGGATATTGGCTGACGCTTGCTCCAGGTAAGCAAGTGGCCCTTGTGTCATCTCAGTTGTCTTCTTTTGGCTACCATTAATGTCTTCCAGAACCTGCTGCCAGGTGCGGAGTTTAGTTAGGTGCTTCTGAATGAGTGCTTCCTTTCTCTGTAGCTCACTTCTCAGTTCTGTCACATCCTGCCAAAAGAAAATAATGATTTATCCAGGAATAGGGCTTTAAAAGAGAACTTCACCTTTAAATAAAGAAAATCACTTTTTTGCAGTTTACAAAAAAAAAGTGCATTTATAATATATTTTTTGGAGTGCCTGTAAGGCTTTGCGCGGGTGCAATGTCAGGCTCTTGCAAACTGTCAACACACTGTCAGCCCATATCTCCCATACAGGCAGGCAGTTACTGAAGTCCAGGAAGCTCAGTGGACTATGAGAATGCTCACCAGTGCCTTCGCAGTTCATTGAGAACTACAAGCTGTCAGCCACAACAGCTGATAGTACTTGTAGGCATTCTTTCACAGAATGAATGATGCTGCCATATGGGCAGTTCTCAAATTATGACAGCAAGTGCTGGGAGATGATCCCTAGTCCGCTGTCACAGGGAGGGGCAGATTGGGTTGCGAGGAGGTAGATGCTCAACATGTTACACCCTAAATATGGGTGTAACATGCTGAGAAAGGTGAACTTATCCTTTAAAGTCAAAATTTATTTTTGGTGGTTTCATTTAAATATAACAACCAGGAATTCTTAAACTTCCATCCCCCACAAAGAAATAGTTACCTCTTTAATGACTTGCTCTTGTTTTTGTACAGAAAGTTGCAATCTTTTCTGCAAGAAAAAACATTCTGTTTGCCTGGCAACATCCAGGAACTTTTGAATGCATTGTTCAACACCTGGAGGAAGAAACAGCAGCACATTTTAATAAGCGCCACCGACAACTTTACATTCACATACAATTTCAGTTAGCAAACCAAGTACTACAAAAGCCGAAGATTAGTTCTTGCATTCCTTCCTCTCACTTTCAATGTAATACATCTGCATTTCCTCAGCAACACATCTAATTGTATTAAAGTGTAACTAAAGGATTTTGTTTTCATCCTGGATTCAGTAATAGAGGGTTATAACCAGTCAGGTTATTTTTTAACCATAACTTCCCATTGGGGATTTCCCTTCACTTCCTGTCCCAGAGCCAAAACAAGAAGTGAGAGAAAATCCCTTTATAGTGAGTGGATCCCAGTTTGTCACCAGAACTAGTTTCCTCATTGGAATATTTCCCTTTTATTATTGTTCTCATGGCAACCCAAAATTTGGGACCTTCTTTTACTTTCACTTTTGGTGGCAACAGTAAACAGGACAAATAGAGAGGGAAAATCTCCCTAACAATGGCACAGACAGCAATAAAAAGTTACAGGTGTTCTAATCCATCTCCACTTTATCTAAGACTAATTAAAAAAAAAAAAAAAAAATTATGCTTTAAATTCACTGAAGGAAGCAAGTCTGTGTTCCAGTAAATCGAAAATTAACCTCTAAGCAGAGCTCCAAGGCTGTCATCCTGATCCTGGTGTCAGTAAGTCATTGATCTAGCAAAAGCATGTAGCCAGGGAAGTCTGGAGATCCTGAACTCTTGACTAGTATGCTCATTCCCGGTCAGGACCTTACTAGGTAATAACGCCAGGATCAGAATGCCAGCACTGGCAGCTCCAATATTTCAATGATACACCAAAATTTCAAAAATCAAATCCTTTGATGAGGGAGAAAAGGAACGGGGTCAAGCCTTTCTATGGATGCAGACAGTGGAGCCTGGAGCGAGCTGCATGACCTCACTTCTTCCTATGGGGTCACTCATCGAGGAAACGAAGGCAGGAGCGCCAGCAGGGGACCCCAGAAGAGGGATATTGGGGCTTTTCTGAGCAAGACCACTGCACAGAGCAGGTAAGTATGCCATGTTTGTGGTTTTGTTTTTTTTTTGCATTTAGAATCACCTAAAGTCCTACACAAACTATCCCTGCCTCAACCATATTTGATTCGGAAGCCCTCCCACCTGGGGAATTTTCCAGTCAAAAAAACAAACACACACACACACACACACAAAAAAAAAAAAAAAAAAAAAAAAAATATATATATTTTTTTTTTTTTTTTTAAAACATGTGCACCGAAAATTTTAACATTACTCCCAACACAAAATGGTTTCCATTCCAATTTATAATAAAGAACATAAGATTGAACTTGACAGACTTCATTTTTCTCAACTCAGACAGCTATGTAGTCACTGCTCAACAGCTTTATAAAGGGGCCAACAGCAAAAAATGTGGGCATAGGTATACAAAAAAAATGCACATATTTTTAAAGCATCTATGGTCAAAAAGTAAAATTATATAACAATTTCCACATTGTATGTCAATTATTTCTAGCCTATTCCTATTACTCTGAATAATCTTGAAGTTTATAAACTTATTTTGTGAAGATCCTACACATTTACATCCTTGGATTCTGTAACTCTCATTCACTCTCCCCTGTGAGTAGGCACTGCTATGTCACACATTTCACAGAGCCTGCCTTCTGTACTACAGAGGTGCTGAGAGGAGGAGTTTCAGGAGGTGGAGTCAGTACAGGAATTACAGTTTCCAGGCAGCAAGGTACCATGGGATATGTAGTCCTTAGAAATTGAAGGTAAATGGCAGAGGAGAAGCTGCAAATCATGCAGTTTATCTAGGCAGTTGTGAAAAGAGTTGTCCAGCAGACAGGCAGAATTCATTAAAAAGGAGATTTTTCAAGTACGCTTACACTGTAATGTCAATAATACCCAATGTTTTTATTGCTATTACAATGCTGATGCGATAAAATGGAAGTGTATGCTTTGACCATACATTTCCGTTAACTAATCTTTGTGGCTCTTACCAGTACGAATCTCCTCCTGATCTGTTCCATTGACATAGTCCTGGCTTACAAGAGAGGCAAAGCAGGCCTGAAAGATGAAGAAGAAATACAATAACTATGCAGGAAAAAACAAACTGCTGAAGCTTAAAGTGGTTCTTAGTCCTGTATTAAAAAATTGAAGGTCAGCAGCTACAAAAACTGTAGCTGCTGACTTTTATTAATTAGACACTCACCTGTCTCAGGATCCAGCACTGCGCTCACCCAGTCGTTTTGTTCATCAGGCTTAGTTTCCAGCGCTGGAATCCTAACTGTGGGCGCTGTCTGTGATCACAGATCCCACAGCTTTCTGTGACATGTCCCAGAAGATTGTGTGGGGAAGAGCGTGGTCAAACTTCTGCTCAGATCACTGTGACAATGTAACAGGAAGTGCGGGAGCGGGTACATGTCTAAAACAGGTACCCACTCCCCCCCCTCAAAATAAAAAAATTAAGTGCCAAACCTGAAGGAAGAGGATGAAGATCAGAACTTCCCCTTTTGAGTGAAGTTCAGCTTTAAAGTATATAGGCAAGGGAGTACGGGAGGTCTACAGACCCTGTCAGTTTTTTGGGGTTTTTTTGCCATCTGCGTCCCTTTGGGGAGATTTACCTTCACTTCCTGTCCCATAGCCAAAATGGGGAGAAGGAAAATCTCTGCTCCTCAAGAAGGTGTTCTAATCCATCTCTTCTGTCCAAAACAGAGAGAGAAAAAAAAAAAGCTTTTCCTATAGCTACACTTTAAAATGAAACTTTACCTCCAAAAAGTTTGGGAACGGACAGGCTTTTTTTTTTTTGAATACAGAAGAGACATACTACTGGTATGTCTCTTCTGCATTAGTTTTATCTGCCTGAATGTACTTTACAGTTTACAATTTTGGCTGTGTGCGCAGGAGTGACGCTATCTTGACCTGGCCAAGGTCACATTCTATTTTGTTGGCCTGACCAATTAAAATGGGAAAAGATCAGGACCCGGCAGGAGACAACTGAAGATGTCAGCAGCCAGCAGGGAGCTCCTCGACAGTATATTGCTGGAGTGGAGGTGTGTATAACTCCGCAAGACAGCAAGCAGTTAATCACTTTTTTTTTTTACAATGTGTATTAGAAGCTGCAGCAAGTCAGACAGAGCACACCACATTTCCTGGCTGGAGGACATCCAGCATCATCTAGTTCTCCTCAGTCTTGCTGTCTCTGGCCCACCCCTTTCATTCATTAGATTTCAGTTCTTTCAATCATGGAGGCTCAGCATGACATGGATACAACTTAGGGTGCACAAATAAAATCTGCCCATGAACAGTTTCATCCTTCCTTAGCTGCCTGCTCAAAGTCTAAAATACAGCTGAAAGAGGCTGTTTATTTTGCTGTGGCACATTTAAAGCAGTAGTGAACTTTAAAAAAAAAAAAAAAAAAAAAAAAAAAAAAACTTTCCCCTTGCAAGGTAATAGCACAATGTGCTAGTATGTATCGCAAACATTGAAACCTGCCTTATAACTAAGCCCTCCATTGGTGTGCTGTCACCACTGCCAGAGCTCATAACTTCACCCAGTCTTCCTTCTGAGCAGCAATGACATCACTCCCACATGTGCAAGGGAGCCATGACACAGAGCACGGAAGGAACTGCATGCCCTCCTAGCACAATGTGCATGCACCCGGCATGCTGAGCTGACAGGTAGCATCACCTGTCAAACTCGGTCATTCAAGTCAATAGGGCCATGCCATACCACAAGCCAAACATTGGCTAGCAAAAAAAAACAGGCCCTCAGGAGGTGACAGATTCACCTCCTGAATGCCTGACAGTGGCTGTTTAGTCGCACTCCAAAAAGCAATCCACTTTTCAGAACAGGAGCTAGTGTGAACCGAGCTGAGTCCTGGACAGGGGGTTTAACCCTTCCCCACTTTATTTTAAACATTTTGGATAATATAAGGGAGAGTTATACCCCCTGTCAGTTTTCTTTTTTTTTTGCCATCTGTGTCCCATTGTGGAGAATTTCCCTTCACTTCCTCCAAAGTGATGGAATCCCAGGGCATCACCAGAACTAGTGTCCCCTAGGGGGATTTCCCCTCTATTCCTGTTCTGGACACAACCCAAAATTGTTTTTTTTCAATTACTTTCACTTTTGATGATAACAGTAAACAGGACAAATAGAGAGGGTGAATCTCCCTAGTGGGGCACAGAGAGCAGCAACCTGACAGGGGTTCTAATCCCTCCCCACTGTATTCAAGACTAACAAAAAAAAAAAAAGGTTTGGTCTTTAGTTATACTTTAATCTGCTTTTCCTTTGCACATTGTTGACTTGAAGTCTCCTGGAATCCCATGACTACGTCATTCTAACCTAGGAAAGGCATCTAGACGTTAGAAGCTGCATTAGTGCAAAAAAAAAAAAAAGTTATTTTTTAGTGTTTCTCATACCATGCTTTAAAAATGTGCAGGCCCATGATATGGAGACAAACTACGCTGCATTAAGGTGGTTCTAAAGGTTTTTTTACCTTCATTCATTCTATGCATGAAGGTAAGAAACCTTCTTTGTGCAGCAGCCCCCCAATACCAACCTAAGTCCCCTCTCGATCCAGTGATGTGCACTGGAGTCTCTGCTATCCCAGGACTCCTTCTCGTTGGCTGAGACAGCAGTGGGAGCCATTGGGGGGCATTCATATCTGGAAAAGTGGATGTGGGGAGAGGTGGTTTGTTTTAAACAGGAACTTCACTCCCCCTCCATTTACATTTTTTCTACTGTCTTACCTGTACAACTGGGCTGTCCCCAAAAACATACCCACCTGCCCTCTCCTGTAGTGTAAGCCGCTGCCCCATCTCAGCACTCCAGGTACCGCGCTGCCATCTTCTTGTGTGATGACGGCAGGAGGCCAGCTTTTCCAGGTTCTTTGAGCCTGGCCCCCCCCCCCCCCCCCCCGATGACAGGAGGAGACACAATTTTCAAGTGACCACCTCTTACCTCCAGACTGAACTGTAGGCATGCACATGCACAGTTTAGTGTGTATTGCTACGAAAGGTTTTTTTTTTTTTTCCCTTGAGAGAGTGCATGTGATCAGCACAGGGCCAATCAGCACTGTCCAGACAGAGGTCAGGGGATTTGTCTCCTCCTAGAGCAGAAAGGAAACTCCTCCTGCAAGCTTTAGCTAGTGCTTGGCTGAACACTGATAGAAGTCACAAGACTGCTCTAACTGCTGATGAGAAAAGGTATTTAGTAGTTTATATTTACTAAAATAATTATATTTCCTAGTTCTGTGAGGGACTGGATAGCGTGAATGCAGAGTCCTGGGCTTAGTAACAACACTTTCATATTTATTTTATGATTATAACTTTTGTGTATTTTATATTTATTCATTTTTAATTGTTCCAATTGAGCAGAAAAACACTCAAATGAGGGACAAAATGCGTGAAAATGCTTAAAAACTTGCATATCGCATGTTTCAATGCATCTCTGTGGAGGAAAAAAAAAAAAAAAAAAAAACAGAAGGCTTCACAAACAGACCAATCTACCCGAATCCAGCTACAAAAGGAGCTCCAAAACTTCTGTGGGGGTGGTGCTGCTGTGGATCCACACGAAAATCCGTGCAGCCGCACCACCCGCACAAGTAAATGCGGACCCGCGGGCGGGTGCTATTAGTTCTAGCGGCACGCCGCCTACACTGGAAAACACAACCGTACTGGGAACCTCGGCTGCGTTTTCCAAAGAAGTGCAGGGACTTCTTCCCTGCGTGTCACTGGCGTCCATTCAAATGCTCTCGTGCCGCACATATGTGAACCGGGGTCAGACTGGCGTTTTGAATCGCGGGCAGAAACGTTTCTCTAAAATGACAAAATATAGAACCACGTATTCAGGCGCCATTCATTTTACCATGGCGCAGTTCTGGTGCAATAAATCGCGCAGCAAACTGCATTGTGCAAAGCGCATCACCCAAAACTTCTTCTGGGCGACACTCCACAGGATGCATTTTATCGAATGACAATTGTGGCAGAACTACTCTGCTTTTATTCGGTGCCATGAATATGAATAACACCTAAACACGCGGTTCCGTGACTTGTCATTGTAGCAGAGCGGTTTGAAATCTAGAGCAGAATTGTGGTAACTCCGCGATTCACAACGCCATAATGTGAACGGGGCCTCAGGCGACTTGCGAGTGGAGATGTGAACCATCTCCATAGAGAATGATTGATTTTGTTTTCTTCCTCAGCATTGTGTTACAATACACTCAGCTGTGAATGGGGCTGTAGGGAGATTCTCCATCTACCATTATTATTGAAGGTGAAAGTAAATGAAATCCTGAACATATTGTTGTCCCCAGAACAGGAATTGAGGGGAAATCTTCTAATGGGGACACCTCAGGATTCCCTCACTTAGGAGAGATGTCCTCTCACTTCCTGTCTTGGCTATGAAACAGGAAGTATAGGGAAATCTCTCCATTGGGGACATATTACTCTATCCAAAATCATTTTAAAAAGTTGTGCCTATAGTTCTCTATTCTAGATATCTGCCATTCACAGATACAGAGCTCCAGGCACTGAACTCCCATACATACAGCCTCCACCATACCTCGAACGACGACTCCAGCTCGTCCACCAGCGTGCTGTTCCCGGGGTTCTTCGCCCCAGGCGGGGTGGACATGAGCCCAGAGGCGCCTCCAGGCTGCATAGGAGGAGGAGGACCGGGCGGCTGACCGGAGAACATCCCGCTCAGGGAGGACGCCATGACATCCAGAAGATAGGACGGGCCCACTGCAGGAACACCTCCCGGAAGTCACACACCATCTTAACTGAGGGCAAAACAAGAGGCAGTATTCCGCGAGCGCCATCTTTACTTTGGGATCTCCCTCCGTGCTGACGTCATATTTTAGCGCCGAGCAGGCACCAGTTTGGAAGTGAGAGAAGCCAGCGAGGTAAATCATGTGATTGCGAGTCACGTGAGAGGCGGAAACCCATGTGCAGTGTCTGGCGATATTCCTGGAGATCAGGATGTGTAGTTTGTAATGCTGTGTGACCAATTCCCTGGCCTGAGCTTGTTTGCTGGGAAAAGCCTCTGTATTGTCAGCTGCTTTGGAAGGGAAAGCAAAGATTCAAAGGGGTGTTTTTCAGCCGTTGCCTTTCTGGAAAAGGTCGGGGAGGTTTTTTTTTTAAACACAAGCTGGTGCGTTTTTGGTACAATGGACTTCACTGGATGTGCAGCACAAACACATGTAATCTGTTTGGGTTTCTTTTTCTTTTTTGCCAATAGGAAAGTTTTGATGGATACGACTTTTATGTCACCTTGGATGGGTGCAACTTTTACCGCTAATAGGAAATTATGACAGTTCTGTTTATGTAGTGCAACTTTGATGTGACATTACACTAGGGTTGTCACCTCATCCCTTTTAACCCGAACACATTAATTACACAGGTTCTGTGGCTGATTAAAGCAGAGCTCCACCCAAAAGGGGAAGTTCCGCTTTAAGGACTGCTTCCCCGCTCCCCATTAAGGATTGGCACCTTTGGGGAGCAGGTACCCGAATTTGACAGGTACCCGCTCCCACTTCCGGTCCGATCACCTAGGGCAATCAGAAACGATAGGAGTCCTCCTTCCCTGTAGTCTTTTGGGACACGTGACAGGTCCCAGAAGACTACAGGACCATTCATGAAGTGCAGCACTACTCGTGCATGCGCAGTGGGTACCCGGCTGTGAAGCCGCAAGCTATCACAGCTGGGTGCCCACACTGAAGATGCCGGCCTCCAGGACGGCCGGGGAAACGAGCTGTGGGGGACACACCATGGGACAGGTAAGTGGCTTTTGTAGCTGCTGACTTTTATTGACAGGGTGAGTGGAGCTCCGCTGCAACCTCCCTAGCGGTCTGATTATGTCCATATTTCTATGCTCAAGCAGTACATTTTTTTGCATGGAAATATGTATTTTTTTTATTGTAGACCTGTAATTTTTAGGAATAACTGAAATCTGTCCGAACAAGAGTCTAGTAAACATCCCGGGTATGTTAAAATTTGAAACACGAAATCATAAATTATAATTTAATAAATAATCTTAAAAAATAATATAATAAATTTAATTCAATAATATAATCAAACCAAAAACACTGAAATATAAAATACAGTGCCAAGTTCGCACATCACTGAGCAAAGTCACAGAATCGTTTTCAGTGTCTGATGACGAATTTCCCCACAAATCATTATCACTCAATTCTGCAAGTGGTTCTGATTTACTATCCCTGTTCTCTAGCTGATCTAAAAACCTTTTTAACCTAAAGGGACGCTTTTTGGACGCCATGGACGTTTCTCAGTTTCCAGGCAGAAAGAACAGTAAAAATGCAGGCAGGGCACAGGACAAAGTACTCGGGACAAAATGTATGTGAAATGCTTTGATACAGTAATTTTTACTATGTGACTTTATTGAGTAAATGTCACTTTTTGACATTTTTAAATTTCCCGCCAGTTCCGTCCCCCGGACGTCCCGATGTCACAGGGAACGGAACCCAGAAGACGGATGCCGGCATTACAGGACATTACAGGGGGCACTGCAGGAGGGACATCGCGGGAGCGCAGGACAAAGTAAGAGAAGAGATCCCGGAGCAAAACTGCAAGATATTTCCGAGTGCAGCTCGGGTTTACCGCTTGTGGTGCTGAAACTTTACCCCGAGATACACTCGGGAATACCATCAGGGAGGTTAAGGCAGTAATCAAACTCCCTGAGTGCCTTATCTGCAATAAATTAGCCTCAGAACCTGTGTAATTAATGTGTTCAGTTTTAAAAGGATGAGGTGGCCACACTACTTTACACACTCTGGCACTCAAGTAGCATCAAAGTTGCATTCAAGTCGCACCCATCCTTCTTTTACTTTCACTTTTGGTGGTAACAGTAAACAGGATAAATAGCCTCTTTTCCTGTTCTGGGGATAGTCCAAAATTTGGGATTTTCAATGTGAATGGTAAATAGGAAAAATAAAGCAGGCGAATCTCCCAAGCAGGGGCATAGACAAAAGTAAAAACCTGACAGGGACTCTAATCCCTCCCCACAAAAAAACTGTAAAATATGTTGTGCCTGAAAAGAAAATGGTTAAAAACATGTTCTATTCCTGATCTTCTCTGTCTTATGCTGCCGCTGAAAATTCTGCTGTTCCCTCACTGTGTGCTCTGGTTACTGATGACATCCCCTATAGTGACATAAGGGTTTGTGGGTGGGACCACAGCACAAAAAGGTGGACTCAATCTCTGACACTTCTGGAAGTGTCAGATACAGAATATTTTTCAGCCAGCACGAACTCTCCATGGTCCCTTTCACCTTGCGCTGGCAGTCAATCACCCACAATCATTTTTCAGAGGACGGTAGAGCAATGGCTCTCAGGCATTCAGGTGCTGATATTTTCTTCTCGTGAAAGTGTTTTGTTTTTTTTTCACTTTTAATCCCAAGGAGGATTTTGTATGGAATACTGCACTGCAAATCATGAGTCAAGCAATTGTCTCAGTTGTGGCTCAAACTATTGTCCTAATGGGTGTGTTTGACAGGTGGTGCAGTCTGATAAATGCAACAAGCCAAGATAAATTCACTGCAAAGCATCATGGCCAAGGCATGTGGCACCCCCTCTGGCTGGTAGGCTTTAAATGGGCAGTCAGGAGCAGTAAAAACATTGATCCACTACTTTTTACCACCCATGTGAAGGGGGCCTCAGACAGTGAAGAATGAATGCTCAGGTAGCAGGAGAGGAAAGTTAATATCCCATTTCTCTACCAGTTGGTCTACCTTTACACTACTGCTTGCCCCACGACTTGAATTTCAGCTGATTCTTGCTAAATCGGTTGGATTTTGAGCAGTGAGTGACTTTGATTTGAAAATGGAAGGAGCTGGGTGTAAAAATGTCAGCTGAACAGACTGCAGCCAAGCTGATGCAGTCACTGTTTGGGTATTCTGACATCCGCAGGTGCCAGCCGCGGTAATACAAAAGCCAGCAAGGGAAATTTTTACTACAAACACTGTTTAGCATGGATGAGGGGAAATCAAGTGATTTCTCTCATTTAGTCCATGAGGCTGTGTGTATGGCTTGCCTTAGAATAATCCAAAGGGTTTGGCATATGGACAGAGTGGTGTCATCTGAGTAGACATAGGGAATAGTTAGTCAGGACTGGGGAACTGTACTGCCTGGATTGTTTTCCAAAGGTTGGAGGGAATATATTTCATTCCTCATATGATTCAAAATATTAGTCATTAGTAGATGAGTTACCAATCTTGCTAGTATGAGATATGAGCTGCATTTAGGTCTGAATTGGTCCTTGCCTTGTAGAACCACCTAGGGACCAACTAAATATCTATATGGACCACATGGCAGTCAGCTGTGGAGTTGAGTTTGGACTGCAATTGGGATGATGTTCTGGAGGAGAAAATTCTCTGACACTGCATGGACACAGCCGCATGACATAATTTGATGTACAGGAGTGTGAGTGCACACATCCAAACACAGAAAGTGGGCATTCATAGATCTGCGCACCAGCTCCTGCATACATGTCAAACACAATGGGGTCGATTTACTAATACTGGAGAGTGCAACATCTGGAACAGCTGTGCATGGTATCCAATCAGCTTCTAACTTCAGCTTGTTCAGTTAAGCTTGACAAAAATCATGGAAGCAAATTGGCTACCATGCACAGCTGCACCAGATGTTGTACTCTCTAGTATTAGTAAATCAACCCGTATGTCTCTTTCTGCCATACAGTTTGCACCAACAGTTTGCTCAGAGCTGTATATTATAATGTGAGACAGTACACGAGACAGTACAGTAACAATATAATTCAATACACGAGGGGTTTCAAGGGCCCTGCTCCTTGGAGCTTACAATCTAGGAGGGAGGGGATAGTGGTACAGCGGGAAATAGCTCTGGGGGATGGAGTGGTAGGAAGAGTGGAGGAGATCGGCTGTTAGGTGAGGGTGGGGTAGGCTTCCCTGAAGAGGTGGGTTTTCAGGGTGCGCCTAAAGGTGAGGAGAGTAGGTGACAGTCTGATGGATTGGGGTAGGGAGTTCCAGAGGATGGGGAAAGCCCTGCAGATGGGCATGGGAGGAGGAGACCAGGGAACAAGTGAGTAGGAGGTCTTGTGAGGAGCGGAGAGTGCATTTTTGGGTGGTAGATGGATATCAGGTCGGTGATGTAGTTTGGGGCAATGTTATGAACAGCTTTGTACATCAATGTTAGCATTTTGAGTTTTATCCGTTGGGCAATCGGAAGCCAGTGGAGGGATTGGCAGAGGGGGGTGGCGGATACGGAGCGGTTAGTAAGGTGGATGAGTCTGGCCGCAGAATTCAGAATAGACTGAAGCTGGGATAGCCTGCGGTGAGGTAAGCCAGTGAGGAGGGAGTTACAGTAGTCAAGTTGAACACTAAGCCACACATGCCCGGCTCAGTATACAATCTTGGTCTTCTGAGGGTGCTTGGATGAGTCACATCATCCCCGGCCAACCAATCAAGGAGGCCAAAGACTCCAGATCTAAAACACCGGGAGAAGATGGAACATTGACGTCTGTTCAGCCGCTGCATCTGCATCCCCTTCTATAGGCTGCCTGTGCACAGCTCTGAGGTAGAGCAGAAAACAGCGGCTCTGCAGGCAAGACAGGTGTCGGCGCCTGTCTGAATGAGCCCTTTAAGTGTAACTCCAGGCAAATTTTTTTTTCTAGTTTTGGACAGACTGAGAAAAAAGCAAAACCACTGCAAAGTCTTTTTAGCTTGTCTGTTTTCTCATTTGGAAAATTCTCTTTCACATCCTGTTCTGGTGCTTCTGGTCACCATCAATGGTGGGATTTACCTTTACATTAGTGAAATTTTCACTCACCGTCTTTGACACAGGAAATGAGGGGACTATTGAACATCATTAAAAACATCATATTAAAACATCACATCTTACTCTTACTTCATACAAAATAATAATATAATAAAAAAAAAAAAAGTTAAAGCTGAACTCTGGGCACAAAAACGTTAAATTTAAATACATTGCTCAATAGCCACAAAGGATATACAGTAAATCCACTGTGTGTGTGTGATGATTGTGTGCAATAGGGACATGGAAGGTGTATGCGACAGCCATCTTGTTAAGGTCATTTTGTTTTCATGAGCAGTGACCTTACTCCCTCCTCCTGCAAACTATGGAATTTGTGGTTGTAACTTGTAACACTTCAAATGAGCCTCTTATCTCCACTAGAACACACGCCAGAGTCCAGGCCTGGATGCTAGCTGTGAACAGCTAATTAGTCTTGGCAGGATGTCTGTTTCCAGGAACCATGAAAAACTCTGCCCTATCGTAAAAACATAATAACTCAGTCAGCCTGTCACACATGACCTGTAAAGGCCATTAAAGCTTTAGGAATGCATAGCGTGCCATAAAATGTCTATTCCACAATGTAGCAATCCATATACAATTCTAAAATCAAACAGGAACAGGACACATTAATATTAGGTATATATTTGAATGGAGAATATCATACCGAGTAAATCAAGGTCATACAGGACTATGCTAGCACATACGAAAGGGGAGATAGCACTCTCCTGCCTCATTGGGAACTAAATTCCTCCAAGGTATGCTGTGTTTGGTATCCCTGGATACGAAATATAATTCTGAATATTAATCTGCTAGTTTCTAGAATACAACCTGCACATGTTTGAAGATATTAACATCAATATAAAACTGTATTTGGGACTTGGTCATACACGTGGTGACCTCCCAGCACCTATCCGTTAATCACTTACCGTCTGGCCCATGTACATAAACACCTGGATGGGAGCAGTGCAGAAGTCAGTTGCCATTCATAAATGGCGCCCGCATTTTAAGCCTGTGCGCGCTCCCTGGGAGCTGTACGGGATCTCTGTGTGAGGTCCCGATCATGTGATCACTGATTGGCCAATCAGTGATCACATGACTAGTAGTAAGCAAGATGTCACTTCTGACATCATTGCTTACTACTTGTGAATAGCCTTGTACCATGTGATCATTCTAAGATTTCACAACAGCCTTGTACCATGTGACAAGCTGAGACCAATCACAGCTCTCACAGTATTTCTCAATGGCTGCAAGAATGCAGCCAAAGAGAAGGAGAAATGATTGCTTTTACAGCCTTTATGGGTGTAAAAAAAAAAAAAAAACATCACCCCCCAAGTAGTACAGTGTCACTATGGTGAAATTGTACTGCTAGGGCGACAGTATGTTAAAAAAAAAACATAATATGAAAAAAATAAAATAAAAATAAAAAACACAAAAGTTGAAAAATTATAATAATTTTTAGTTATAAACTAAATTGGATTATTTTTTTTTTTACTAAAAAGATAGCTGAATACATTTTGGCCAAGATTTATGAAGAAAGATTATTTGCAAAATTTTTATAAGACACTTTTTTTTTTAAAATTTTTGGACTTTCATTTATATAGCAAAAAAAAAATTGAAATCCCAGTGGAGAATAAATACCACCAAAATTAAAGTTTTATCTGTCTCAAAAAAATGCTAAAACATTGATATGGGTACAGTGTTGCATGACCGCGCAATTGTCCTTCAAAGTGTGACAGCGCTGAAAACTAGCCTAGACAGGAAGGGGGTAAAAGCGTCTGGACTTGAAGTGGTTAAACCTGATGATTGGTCAGATGGTCTCTGTCCACACCCCTTTGATATCACAGAAAAGGGATAACAGAAACTGTTAAGGGGGCTCTCATTTTAACATCAACCAAGGAACACCCAAGAGAGCCACAGCAACGTTTTTGCTTGGACAATTAGACTCTGCTTTCTCTGTTGCGTTATTGTTCTCTTTATGTCTCTGTAACATCCTTTTCTGTAAATATCTTAATTGCACCATTTGGCCTTTTCATTAATAAACCCCCTTTTGAAAAGTGTTAAAGCCATCGCTAAGGCTTTTAAGGCAAACTAAAGAATCCCTGTGAAGAGTGCTACTTTATATAATAATCCTCTGAATATACCTGTCTGTGGTGACAGTGTGTGTTACAGATGTTTATTGTTCACATTTGTAGTTGCTAACATTGTGAAGGATTGATAGGCCCAAAGCGATCCGGTGGCATATTGGGGTTTAAAGGGTTAATGCTAATAACCTAACCCAGTAACTCTCAGGATGGTGGCACCTAGATTGTGATTCCGCAAGCAGGAAAATCTCTGTGTAGGGTGCAGCTGAGGGTGGCATTGTAACGCAAGTGACAGTGTGGAGTGAGATTGGCTGATCTGAGTTGGTCAGAAGGGCAGGGGTCAGGCATCATGTTCATCACAGTGTGCACCAGATTTTATCCTGTAAAAGTAACAGTGCCATCATCACTTTACTGCACACAGCTTGTACAGAGAGTAGAACAGTGAGAGGGGTCCAGCAGACTTACTCACTACAGGATGCCTGCAGAAAAGTAAATGAAGGGGTAGATACATAACCTGCCACCCTGCACAAGGAGACAAAGGCTGCTCACTGCTGCTCTATTACAGGAAGCTCCTGCACAGAGGTAAAGTTTCACACTGGATTGCTACCCAGATCTGGAATACACACACAAAACGTAACAGGATTCAAGGAACAATACACGTCTCTTGTATTTGGATATTATAGGTTCCCCAAGTATTTTCCCGTGAATAAGTATGTGCTGCCACTATTCCCTAGATTTTTAATTTGCAGTCCTGACATTTTTGAGGCCTTTTCTTTAAAACAGCCCTGCTCCTTCCATATGTGTGCCACAATACCTATTCATTCCTTAGGATGGCTGCAAGTACGGAGCTATCCGGATATATGGGAGTATGGGAACGGTTTGGGTTTTTTTTGCAGTGATAACAGTTTTAGGATATTTGACCATTGTATCAAAACATTTAGATTAGAATCTCTGTAAATCCCCAAAGAAAAGTAAAACTTTCACCCTTGAAAGTGCAAATATCAAACCTTTTCTATAACCTTCCCCTCACCTCAAATCCTACCCCTCATTCTCAAAAATGTCCATAATAAAGTCCAAAATTCAGAAAATAGTCCACACTCTCCAATCTTCCAACTGTAAAAATATCCGATTCTTCACTCCAATCCAAAAATACCTAAAAAAAATAAAATGAAATATAGTGCATTATCTTTCACACTATAATATTAAGTGATATCATGCAAAAAACACTAGTGATGTAAAGTATAATATGAACAAGATTAAAATCAACACGTGAAGTAGAAATCCACACAACTCCACTAGTGATCTTGTGAAAAATAATCACTCCAATTCGTGAAATGCTACAAATACAAAATTTGTGATCAGTGAAAAAGTGTGCAAAATCAGATAAGTGCCACCACTCTGCGTTTAGGATAACATGCTATTACCCTCTTTCAGCTTGCACAGGCGTTTCACAAATCCCATATGCCAGATGGCTTTCCTCTTATGGGAGTGTACAGTGGAATCCCCCGTTCCTCATAAAGCAATGGGCATTGGGATCCCCGTTCCTCACAGGGCAGAGAAGAGCAAACTCAGTGGAGTAATATGTATAAAACACAAATTTATTATCTGCTTACATTTTAGAAAACACCGTCCATCCTATGTTGAGTCCTTCCTATGCTGAGACCATATCCAAAATGGCCGCACTGCTCCTTCCGGTTTTGCGTCTGACGTCACGTCCTTCCAACCGGAAGGAGCAGCTGAAAGAGGGTAATAGCATGTTATCCTAAACGCAGAGTGGTGGCACTTATCTGATTTTGCACACTTTTTCGCTGATCACAAATTTTGTATTTGTAGCATTTCATGAATTGGAGTGATTATTTCACAAGATCACTAGTGGAGTTGTGTGGATTTCTATTTCACGTGTTGATTTTAATCTTGTTCATATTATACTTTACATCACTAGTGTTTTTTGCATGATATCACTTAATATTATAGTGTGCAAGATAATGCACTATAGTTTATTTTTTTTAGGTATTTTGGATTGGAGTGAAGAATCGGATATTTTCACAGTTGGGAGATTGGAGAGTGTGGACTATTTTTTGGATTTTTGGATTTTGGACTTTATTATGGACATTTTTGAGAATAAGGGGTAGGATTTGAGGTGAGGGGAAGGTTATAGAAAAGGTTTATGATATCAAAACATTTGCCTAGTGATGTTTTTTTTTTATAGAACACAGATGGTAGAAGAAATAACATCTTGTTTAACACTACTTGTATTATTCCATTGTCTTTAATGTCCATAAAATGCTATGAACATGTACGTTTTTTCTGGATGCTAGGTTAGTAACAAAAAGATAGAAAAAACCACAATTTTAGGTATTTTAAAGTGAATATAAAGTTCATTATGGCTAGAAAATTTCCATTACTGGTTGCTGGTCTATTCCATTCAGCATTATGTGGGATTCCTGTCTTTACTAAGTCGGTCAACAAATTCAATCAAGGTCCTTGTGGGGCGCCCTGCCATTCCTTTGCGCAGGTAAGGAACCTCATCCTTGTTTGACATGACGCCAGCGATGTCTAGATGAGCCCAGTGAGGCACGGTGACAAACTCCTTCAGGAATGCAGCCGCAGTACACGCTCCTCCAGACCTGCAAGGTATGATACAGTTAGTCTACTTCTATAATACTGCTGAGATTTGCAGCCTTGAGTAGACACAGCCAGTGACATCTTAACTCTCTTGAGGACCCCAGTGACCTCAGCTTCTCGACAAAATACCTGCCTCTGCCCCCCCCAACACTGCATGTAGACTCTCTCTATCCATTCAGTCGATCCGATCCTAGGCGATTGCATGGACTGTCACTCGTAAGTGACTTTTTCCATGAATTCTCTTAGCAATTATTTTACAGGTTAGGTTGCCAGGTTTTTCCCCAACCCCTACCATGCAGGAAATCCCACGTGGCCAGGGATGAAACTAGGACAATTTAGACAGGAGCCAATTAACCTACCAGCATGTCTTTGGAGTGCGAGAAGAAACCGGAGTACCCGGAGGAAACCCACGCAAGCACAGGGAGAACATGCAAACTCCATGCAGGAGGCGCCATGGTTGGGAATTGAACCCATGATCCATTTACTGCACGGCAGACGTGCTAACCACTAAGCCACTGTGCTGCCCTCTTGTAGACTAATAGTCTTTTAAAGCCAAGACTTTGTATTTAGTTTTGGACTTTAGAGTGGGCCCAGTCAAAGTTTTTATGCATGTTCATGTCCCCATCAGGGAGATTTGGTTTTACTTCCCATCACAGCAGGAACAGATGGGAAATTGGTCTATCAAGGACCTGAAAACCAAAATTACAATTTTAGGGCAGTGAGGAAGTGTTAGTACTTGTATGGTGATAACTGCTCCTCTTATTTCTTCTAAGGGCATCACAGGGGAAAGGAACTAATTAACAGTTTCCCCAATGCAGTCACAGAAATAAAAACTTTTCTCCACTTTACATAAAAAATTGTCAGGAGTTAGAATTTAATCTCCAAAGTCAGGCAGTACAGATGCTATTTATTCACATATATTGTAACCCATTCCAGGGCTGAAGAGAAGGCTTAAAAATCATTTACTTTTACACAAGTAGGTTTTCTCAAATGGCCATAGCATTACATTATGCTGCCATTATAAATACAAACAGTGCTGAATCTCATTCAGTGACAGATAAAGTCACTGAAATGTTATTCAACCTGATGGAATTATATTTATGGAATATGTTATATAAATCTGTAGTTTTAACCAATCTATTTAATTTATTACAGGCATTTAGACGGCGCCAATAACTTACACAGTGCTTTACATACTGTACAGTCACACCAGTCCCCGTTCTTACAGAGCTTACAATTTAATTTTGTTATGTATACAGTTAGCTCCAAAGGCTACCACCATGTGTGAGCACAAAACAAAGAAAAAAAAAGAAGGAAAAGCTTTCACTGTTATCATACCTGCTGTATTTCCCAACATTATTAAGGTCAGCAAGGGCAGAATCTGTCACTTGTTTACTATAGTGCTCAAATAGAGGCATCCTCCAAACTCGGTCTCCTGTCACAGCACTGGCCTGTAAACAATTAATACAATGAGTTTAGAAAACAAAGATTAATGGGTTATTAAAGGACAACTTCTGACAACCAATACTTAAGTACACACATGGAAATTGTTGACTTTTTGAACATATCTGAACAGTCAGTCATTGGATCTTGAGTTAAATACTGCCTACAGATAGGAGGGATATACGATTTGTCATATGGAAAAAGTGAGTACAACCCCTACCTTTACCCCCACTTCAATAAAATCCATGAAATTAAAATCCCAGTGTTCCAGATTAGGTGCCAAGGATTAGAACTTCATTAGAGAGTATGGAGTGCTGATTTAAACCTCATATATCTTTGCTATTGACACGTGTGGGGTCATCATGCTAAGATCAAGAGAGCTCTCTAGGGTTCTCAGAAGAGAAAAAAAAAAGTGAATGCCTAGGAGTCAGGTAGAGTATTTAAAAAGATCAAATGATTTAAAATCAATCATTCTACTGTAAGCAAAGTCATCTATAAGTGGGATAGATTTCAAACAACTTCTAATTTGTCCAGGTTTGGCCCAACAGCTGACTGGTGCTAAATGAAGTCTCCAAGCACCCTACAATTTGTGGGGTATCAGTGGGGGGCAAAGTGCATACATCTACTAATCAGAAAGAGATTGCATCAATGCAACCTGCATATGAGGTGTATAAAGAAAAAAAACTTTGCTGTCCAAAAAAGAATATTAGAATTTACAGCTTGCGACTGAACATATAAGCAAACACCAGACTTCCCAGAACAATGTGCTAAAGACTGATAAAACAAAGATAGAGCGGTTTGGCCCTAGTAAAAAAAAAAAGGCATGATTGGCACAAACCGAAAACAGAACTTCAGGAGAAGAACCTCATAACAACTGTGAAGCATGGTGGTGAAAATGTTATGGTTTGGGTTTGCTTTGCTGCTTCAGGACCTGGGCAGCTCACAGTTATCGAGTCAACTACATGTTCTGCATCAAAGTGTGCTTGATGAGGATTTGAGGCTAGTGGTGAAAAAAACTGAAGGTAAACTATAAAGGAGTTTTTCTGCACGCTAATGTCCTGAAGCACACCAGTAAATCCACCAAGGAATTACTCAAAAAGAAGAAAAGAGAAGGCTATAGACTGCTCTGACCAAAGCCCTAGTTTGATTCTGATTTAAACTTTTGTAGAATTTTGAAAAAAGCAGTTCATGGAAGGAAACCCACCAACAGCTTGCAACTGAAGGAATGTTGCATGAAGAAGTGGTCAAAAGTTTAATGTGTCAATGTCAGAGACTGGTGGACAGTTATACAAATGCCTACAATAAGTCATTTCTGCTACAGGGGGCAGTACCAGTTTTTGATGCCAAGAGTGTAGTAAACTTTTGCAGAGTACCGTATTTTTTCGCCGTATAAGACGCACTTTTTCTTCCCCAGAACTGGGGGGGAAATGTCAGTGCGTCTTATGGGGCGAATATGGAGCGGCCGGTCCGGTATTTCCACCGCGGCTGTGTCAGAATACCGGGCCGGCCGCTCAGCTCTGCAGCGGGACCTTACCTGTTCCTCTATCCAGCGGCGTGCTGTCTTCCCGGCTTCTGTAGTGTGGGCACTGGGCATGACAGCCGGGTGCCAAGTGCGCATGCGCAAGAAGCGGTGCTTTTTGTGAATGGTAAGGCGGTACCTGGGACACATGACAGATCCCAGAAGCCGCCGGACCAATCACAAAGCGCAAGTGCTTCTCGCTCATGCGCACTGGGCACCCGGCTGTCATGCCGAGCGCCATTACAGAAGCCGGGAAGACAGCGCGCGGCTGGATCGAGGAACAGGTAAGATCAAACAAAAACTCCGCGGAAGAGCGGGTATCTGTCAAATTCAGGTACCCGCTCCCCACCTCCCCAAAGGTCAGCAGTCATCTGTACTGTCCGCAGTCTCTGGTCATCCCTGTGCTGTCCGCAGTCTCTGGTCATCTCCTGTACTGTGTCCGCAGTCTCTGGTCATCTCCTGTACTGTGTCCGCAGTCTCTGGTCATCTTCTGTACTGTGTCCGCAGTCTCTGGTCATCTCCTGTACTGTGTCCGCAGTCTCTGGTCATCTCCTGTACTGTGTCCGCAGTCTCTGGTCATCTCCTGTACTGTGTCCGCAGTCTCTGGTCATCTCCTGTACTGTGTCCGCAGTCTCTGGTCATCTCCTGTACTGTGTCCGCAGTCTCTGGTCATCTCCTGTACTGTGTCCGCAGTCTCTGGTCATCCCTGTGCTGTCCGCAGTCTCTGGTCATCTCCTGTACTGTGTCCGCAGTCTCTGGTCATCCCTGTGCTGTCTGCAGTCTCTGGTCATCTCCTGTACTGTGTCTGCAGTCCATTAGTTCAGAATTTTTTTTCCTGTTTTCTGCCTCTAAAACCTAGGTGCGTCTTATACGGCGAAAAATACGGTATATCATTACATCTATTGGTATTTTTTAAAATAAATTATTAAAAATGCAAATGTTTCTTGTTTTTTTATTCAAGTACATCACCTTTAGCTGTAGACTTTGAATAAAAATCTAAATGTCTACCTGTTCAACTATGTTAAAAAATTTAAACAACGTTCATGGGATGTACTTCATTTTTAACATGACTGTAAGTGAGCATGTTATATTGCTTCATAAACGCATAAATCAATCAAGCCACATTTTGACACAGATTGTTTTGAGTCATGGAGAACAAAGAAAGATCAGAGAAAAATAGTACGTGCAATCAAGAAGTTCTATCACTCCCTAATCCTCCCTCTGTTCTTCTCTTTTATCAGCCATGCATTACTCATTTTACTAAGGCCTTGTTTACAAAAGTGATGGTAAAAACAGGCATCTTAGCCATGTTTTTACCAGCCTCTGACTGCCCCCCTAAAAGATAACATACAGCTAGGAGGGGGCTGTACACATACCGCCTCCTGTAAAAAAAAAAAAAAAAATCAATTGAAGTCAAAGGGATCATGCTGCAACCATGAGCCAAATGCTTGGACCACAGTTGCAGCAAAGTAATTGCATTCAAAACCCCTGTTCACAAAAGAAGAAGAGGCATTCAGGAGATGGCAATATCTCTTGCTAAATGCCTGCAAACCACAGGTCTACTGCCCTCTGAAAAGTAATTCATTGCAGATTTTCGAAGGGGTAGCAGAGACTGCCACACATATATAGTTAATCTAAATGTAGCTGTCAAACAAATGAGGTATTTCGGGAAAAGGAGGAACCAAAGGATGGGGCTTCCTTTAGGAAAGTAAAATGCTTGTTAACATAAAACCAGGAAAAGAAGTGTGCACAGAAAAGGTTTTTCTGAATATTCCAGAAGATGATGTTTTGTATACATTTTGTGACCATGGGTATGAAGGCAAGCATGACTTACACAAGGTGCTCAAGTCTCCATTCCCTGTCCCTTCCATCACCTATTATTACAATTACTGTTTACCAATTGTACTAGTTTACATATCATTGTACAAGTTTATTTGTAAACTGCACAGTAATGTAGATAAGGGGAAAAAAAAAAAAACGTTGAACCTCTTGAAGATGAGTCCACAGCCAGGAAGAATTGGTGAACACACCGGTAGCAGCAGATCCTAGAGCCACGTCCATAGCACCTGTAAGAGAGAGTACTGTAAGCAGAGAGGAATCTGGGACACTTAGGTCAGGGTGACAAACGGTGCATATGCTAGCTGCTGGGACATCTCTACCCTCAATACTCTGGAGTCACTGACACTGAAATAAATATGTAGTGATGCCAGAACACCTAATCTGCATATTTCAGGCCAGATGCTCAAAGTACCGAAGCCATCAGACAGCATGACAGTCAGGAAAATTAGCATTTTCAAGAGGGTCAGCAATGTTAGCTTTAATTTTCTCAGTTCAGGATTCCAATAATATTCCATTTGCAGGATAAATTTCAATAAAATCTGGAACTCGAGTACTCCCTTACCCAGGGCACACTATTATGCAAAAATTTTTATTGTGCCCAACCCCTCTGCACTATCCTACCGGTCAGTGAGGCCATCCAGTTTTGAGCCAGTAGTAAGGTATGTTGTAAATTTCAAAAGGCATATGCAGGCATCTCAAGTATGGAACCATGTGATAATGAAAGCATAATGACCCTGCACTAGACACTACCAAAATGTTCAGCTCCAGGTAAAACTGCATAACTGTGGCGGTGGTCAATGGTCAAATCAAACTGACATATCGATAACTCCTTTACAATTCCTAGACCCATAAATAACTTTGCATGTGTTGCCCACATCCAGTTTGTATAGTATATAATAAAGCTCAAGAACAAATCAAAGCCTATTCTTTCTAGTTTCTGCGTTGTACTATTCAATACCAGCATGTACATACCAGTTAGAGTTGCTGCATTTACGATGGCTCGTGCATTGAAATTATGTGCATAACAGAGAGCATCAGCCAAAAGCAATCGCCCTTCGGCATCAGTGTTGTCCACCTGTCAAAGAATAATGATGTTTACCAAATCTAAAACACCAAAATACGTTGAAGAATAAGGGGTTTAACAATTATGCAATGTGAAAATAGTCTGTGACTGCAGCAGGTTCTTGCAACCCATACAAGTAAAATTGGGGTTTATAGTGCAAAAAGAGAAATGAGTAAATGGGACTTTTTAATGTGCTAATGTGTAACCCTCAGTAAAAAAAACACACAAAATCATATGTGGAAAACCGTAAATTTGGATGAGCCTTAAACCATACATGATCAGCAAACCCCCATACACCTTCCCTAAAATATGATAATACTCATACAGATGACACAATTAAACACATTATGATATATAACCAGTACTGCTGGGAGGCACCCCCATCTGATTTGTTGCCACTACCTCCTCTGTATGTGTTCCTGGTGGGTCTTCACCTGTACATTCGATAATCTTCATGCTTTGGCTGATATACATTGTTGTGAGAAAATTCTATGGTATCTGTATCATTGTATGTATATTCACTTTTTAACTACATATGAGTCACTTTGTTCTTTTTTTTATCAGCTGCCTCTTCTAAACCCCTGAAGAACCTGCGAAATGCATTGAGATGCTGCAACTCCCCATAATCTATTTTCTAATATCATAATGTAGTTAATTGTATCATCTATATGAGTATTATTACTTTACGGAAGATGTATGGGGATTTGCTGATCATGTATGATTTAAGGTTCATCCAGACTTGTTTTTTTATCCTTTTGGGGGTTGTTCAACCTGCTTTTTAAAATATGACGCTGTAATAAAATGTGAGATTTTTTACATATATTTTGTGTATTTTTTCCTGAGGAACCTATTTTTCTTTTTGTACTATGTTAAAATTGAGATGTGGTGCTGGAGGTTATCAATTATACCTATTTGTCAGAAAATTTGGTGTTCAGACTCTATTGTTTGAATTGAACCAGCCATTCCTAAAATCATTTACAGAGCTGACAATCCTTGCTATAGCTAGGGTAGTCATGAGCACCAGGACCAGAATCCTAGTAGGAACACTCACAGAAAATGCTGATCTCTGTCCAGAGACACTCACTTTGCAATGCAACATTTTCCACACATAGCTTACCCCTCTAGATATGTATACATGCCCAGCCATGATCCCTCGCCTCTGCCTCATCTCCATGCTCCTCAGCTGTGTGGCACTTTCTAAAAGTAGATTGAATATTCCCTTTAAAATGGTTAGTTTACTTTTTCAGAAAAAAATATGAAAAAGGAGCACACTGCACCCTCCCCACCCCTCAGTATCTGCTGTGCTCACCTCTGTGGGTGATGAGCTGTCAGGGCCTACACAGCCAGTGTAGCAGTCTGGGGATTTAAAATCCCCTTTATTATTCCCCCGTCCTTCCGTAAGGCTTTCGGGATTGATAAGAGCGATTTTCTGTGCTAGCATTGACCAATCAGAATCACTCTTATCCATCTCTTATCCAGCTCTACAGAAAGAAGGGGGAGAGGAGTGGGGACTTCAAACCCCCAACTGCTACACTGGCTGCGTGGGCACTGCCAGCTCATCACTCATGGAGGTAAGTACAGTGGGGAGTGAGAAAGGAGTAGGGTGTTTGTTCACCTTTTCATTTTTTTCCTGAAAAGGTGAACTTCCACTTTTAGGCCAGCAAGTGTTTCACCTGAATCGTCTTTCCATTCTTTGCTTTCACAACGTCACCAGGTTTATTTGCTCCGCCGCTGGGCATATTTTCGCACAAAGGAGCCAAACCTGAAAAATTGCAATGTAGATTAATTTTATCAATATGTTCCGAACATAGGACAAATTCAAAGTGTTTTTTTGGTGTCAAAGTCTAAAACTTTAGAAATAATCTCTGCTTTTATAGCCTTTGATGGCTTGATTAAACAAGCTGACTATAAGCAACTGGCCATGTAATTTTTAGATGAACAGTACAAGATGTATGTTACAGCCATACAGGTTGGGATAGAGTACTTATCAAAGTACTTCATCTAATACATTTGACCTATTTGTGCAGTACTAAACACACTCTGCTGGACTAAGCTGTGAGGGTCACTCACTGGACTGTTCATGCTTTTCTTTTAGACTTTAGGCATGATTAGATGAAGTTTACCCCTTTGGATTAGTGTCACTTTCTATTGCAACTGTTTTGAAGTTAAAAAGATAAGTTCACCTTTTTAGAAAAATAACAAAATGTACACATTTTTGCAAAAAAAAAAATGCATTTATCATTTTTGTATGCAGAAGCTTGGAAAGCATTGCACCTGTGATCAGTGGATCTGGGGTACAATGTCAAGCTTCTGCAGACAAGCCCTGCAGCTTTCAGCCCATGCATCCGCACAGGCTGTCAGTATAAATGAACTACAAGGGCGCTCATCAGAAACCTTCACAGTTCATTCAGAACTACAAGCCATCTGCTGCAGTGGATGAAGGTACTTGTAGTTTAGTCACTCACAGGAAACTGAATGAATGATGCATCCGTCTGGGCGGAGCCCTGTGTGACCGTGTTGTTCTTTGAATTGTGACAGCTGATGCGGAGAGAAGATCCCCCACTGGCTGGCACACTGAGGAAGGTATCAGGGAGAGCTGCGGCAGTGGCTGGAACGTTACATGTTTTACCTTAAAGCAGAGCTCCACCCAAAAGGGGAAATTCCGCTTTAAAGACTGGTCACATGCTCCCCATTAAGGATTGGCACCTTTGGGGAGCGGGAACCCAAAATTGACAGGTACCTGCTCCCACTTCCGCTGCGATCACCCAGGCAATCAGAAGTTGTCGTCCTACCCTCCCTCCCTGTAGTCTTCTGGGACACTTGACAGGTCCCAGAAGACTACGGGACCATTCAGGAAGCACAGCGCTAATCGCACATGCGCAGTGGGCACCGGCTGGGAAGCCACAAGCTGTTACAGCCGGGTGCCCACACTGAAGATGTCGGAGCCTGGAACACCAGACGGTTGGTGAAACGGGCTGCGGGGAGGACACCACAGGATCGTGGGACAGGTGAGTGGTTGTTTTTTTTAAAAGTCAGCAGCTACAGTTTTTGTAGTTGCTGACTTATTTTTTCACAGTGCGACTGGCACTCCACTTTAATGATCCAAAAAGTGAACTTATCCCTTAATTTAGGTTTTTCATATATTCTGTAGATAACCTATTAGTAGCATCAACTCCTGATATGCTGCAATATGGCATTCTGTCTCCTTATTAATCTAACTGAATGGAAACATTGAAAGTAGTTTAATAGAGTGGATATAGTGTATACTTTACATAAATATATACTGGAATCTAGGAAATCAGCTTTCTAATTTTAATCAATCTCTTACGTATGTATTGAGGTTATATATAGATCAATAAATTGTTATTTTATGTCTAAATTAATTTTGTGTGTTGGTGATATGCCTTATTTAAAGGGCAAAAAATTAATGTTGTGTAATTGTTAAATAGGGATGGAAATATATCATTATGTGCATCAAATCACAACAAAATGTGTTGTATAGCCAGCTTCACTCTGCTTTCAATCTAATACCACCAGATCAAATGGCAGCACTTTGTTATAATTACAAGCCCACTTTCAATTAACTGATGTTTTTTCCTTGTGTTCATACCACACATATTCAGGCATGGCACATTAACCTACCAATCAGATTGATGGGTAACTTTAGTGTTGCAGCAGTTAATATTGCAGAAGAGACAGTAGCAGCTCCACCCATATCTGCTCTCATTGCATCCATTCCTGATGATGGCTTTATAGAAATCCCACCACTAAAAGAAAAAAATAGACATAAGATGAGATATCAAAAGTAATGGTAAGAGTTATACAAAAATAAAAAAAAATGTAATACCAACATATGTAAAGAAAATATTACAAAACCATGATATATTCCTTTTACATATGTTGGGTTCTAGCCTATGTCCAACTACACACATATGGTAAGGTGGACAAAGATGCCAGTCTATGTAAATTTAAAAAGGAGATCAGGACATATTAAGAATAAGGGAGTTACAAAACTCTGAGTTTACAAAAGAAGGGGGAATATGAAACCCTGGGGATATTATGTATGGGCAAAACTGCAGGGATGCAGCTACTCCTGGTTTTTTTTTTTTTTCCCCTAATCACAGGAACCTGCTCTTGCCACCAGAACAGAAATAATAGTACTCACTACATGCTAGCGCTACTATGTACAACTAAAATAGCAAACTGCAGTACCCAACTTACCAGCAGGAGGCATCATTGGATTAGTTAGCAGAATAGGTCCCCAATTTCATGTGCATTTTTTTATGAATGCTATTAAATAGTTTTTTTCTTCCAAACAAATAACCTGGGACATGACCACAAAAATTGCTTTTTTAAATCTATAGTTACATAACATTTAGCAGACATTGCCTGGTTATAGAATTTTAGAGGTCAGTTTCGGTGACAACAACACATTTAACTAAAACAATCTATTCAGTTTCATCACCTATCAAAAGTGACTCCCTTCCCAACAAAGACCAGGGGTGGATCCTTAGGGTCAGGGCTGCCAGTATAGTGGATTTCCAACAGCACTGGAGGTTCATCAGACCCTTTGGCTACACTTAAAAATGCTCCCATCTGTTGTTCCTCTATCCATTGCTTTGACCTAGGGAGACATTTAAAGTCATTGTAAGTTACTTTTCATTTTAAATGATCAAAAACATGTTTAGAATTAGTAATAAAAACAACAACACATATTTACATCTAATAATGAGCTTACACAGTGCTGAAAAGCAAGCTCTAGTGGAGTATTGGTGGACCTAGTATAGAAAAAAAAATCTGCAAAAAAAAAAATGTTTTCCTCGTGTTGATTCTTTGGAATCTTCATTTTATTTCCACAGGCAAAAAAGTGTGGTCAAATGGACACCTTAAAGTGGCCAACTACAAATTATTAAACAATACAAGCCCTGGGAGCTCCATGGCTCCCTCTTTATGTACTATGGCAGATGAAAAGCTGCTGAACTAGCAAAATATACAAATATATATATACACACACACACAGATTTTACTTAAAGCCATAGTAATAGTACATAAAATGTGAATAGGATGCTAAAAGATGACATGTAGATAGATAAAAAAAAACAAAAAACTGGCAAGCTTCAGAGGGTCAAATGCAGTCCCTTGAAAAAGTATTCATACCCCTTGAAATTTTCCACATTTTATCATGTTACAACCAAAAACATAAATGTATTTTCCCTTCCACTTCACAATTATGTGCCACTTTGTGTTGGTCTATCACATAAAACCCCAATGAAATACATTTATGTTTTTTGGTTGTAACATGACAAAATGTGCAACATTTCACAGGGTATGAATACTTTTTCAAGGCACTGTATTAGCACTTCAACGTGAAGTGTCAATGCGTCTGATTCTACTAGATACTTATGACAGCAAGGCTAGCCATACACTCCTTGATTTCTCCATCCATGATGAACAGTGCGGATGGGGAGAGAAATCTATACTGCCAGCAATTACATTCAGGAGGTAGTGGTAGAGGGGCGCTGGACACAAATTTTCACAGGTCATCAAAATTATTATTATTACACAGGATTTATACAGCACCAACTGTGATTGGCAATGAAGAAATACCTGGAATATATGATTTTTTAACAGCGCCATCGCACAAGTGTCTGTATACTGCTAACTGAGAAACATTGTTCCATGTAACACTGCTTTTATATTCTGCAGACTCAAAACGTACCTTGTGAAGACCTTTACATTGCCTCCCAACTTTTCCAACTTCTCCTCAAATATCTGCGCAAACCTAGTCGGTGTCATGTAGTTTGCAGGCGCTTCCATCAGATAGCGGGCCAGGTTCTGTCCCTCTGCATAGGACACTCCTTTCTGCCAGGCCTCTCCTTCTTGACTAAAGTAGAAAAATGCAGTCACATTTCTTGATGTCATCTTTAACATATACAGTCATGACCAAAAATATTGGCACTCCTGCATTTCTGTCAGATAATGCACCACTTCGCCCAGAAAATTGTTGCAATTACAAATGTTTAGGCATTCTCATCTTTATTTCTTTTGTTTGTATTGGTATGACACAAAAAAGTGGAGAAACTAAAAGCCAAATCTGACAAATTCAACGCAAAATCCAAAAAGTGGACAAAATTATTGGCACCCTCAATGTAATATTTGGTCGCACACCCCTTGAAAAATAGAACTGAAATCAATTGCTTCCTGTAACAATTAATGAGTTTCTTACACCTCTCTACTAGAATTTTGGACCACTCTTCTTTGGCCAACTGCTCTGGGTCTCTCGAATTGGAGGGGTTCCTTTTCCCAACTGCTGTTTTGAGATCTCTCCACAGGTGCTCTATGGGATTGAGATCTGGACTCATTGCTGGCCAGTTCAGTACTCTCCAGCGCTTTGTCTTAAACCATTACTGGGTGCTTTTTGATGTGTGCTTTGGGTCATTGTCCTGCTGTAAGACCCATATCTTCTGACAGAGACCCAACTTTCTGACACTGGGCCCTACATTGCACCCCAGAATCTTTTGCTTTTTTTGAAAGCAGAATGATGGGCTTTACCAAAAAGATGTAATTTTGTCTGTTTGAAGCACATTCTCCCAAAAAACTTTTGGGTTCCTCAGGTAAGTTTTGGCAAACTCCAATCTGGCTTTTTTATGTTTCTGTGTCAGCAGTGGGGTCCTCCAACGTCCCTTTTCATTAAAATGTTGACATATAGTGTGAGCGGACACAGTTGTACCCTGTACCTGAAGGTCAGCTTGAATTTGTTTGGAAGTTGATCGAGGTTCTTTATCCACCATTCAAACAATCCTTTGTTGCAATCTTTGAATGATTTTTCTCTTTTGTTCACGTTCCAGGGAGCTACAGTGCCATGGGCTGTAAACTTCTTGACAATGTTGTGCACAGTGGACACAGGAACATTAAGATCTCTGGAGATGACTTGTAACCTTGAAATTGTCCATATTTTTCCACAATTTTCGTTCTCAAATCCTCAATTCTTTGCTGCTCTTTTCTTCTCCATGCTCCATGTGGCACACAGAGACACACAACAGAAAGGTGGAGTCCATTTTTCACCATTTTAACTGGTTGTCGTTGTGATTTCTATATTGTTAGCACTTGTAACTGATACAGGTGAGTTTAATTACAAATTACAGGAGCATCACAAACTTGGAATGCAATTATTTCTTACAATTTTGAGAAGGTGCCAAGAATTTTGTCCATTGTTATGCTTAAACTATCTACAGGATTTATATTTGTACTCTGTGCTTTATTACATATGGATGTTAATCTTTCAATAAAGCTTAGTTTTGAATTTAAAAAAAAATATATCCCAAGATCCCATAACACTTAGCAACTGCACATTGCTTTACAAGTTTTATATCAGGCCTGCAACAAGTCCTTATGTTGTGTCATGATTTTGGCATAGACTACGACTACAAAGGCTACTCAGTAGTCAAGCAACAGAATAGGCAATAACAATCTGCAGTGGCTGAATCTGGCCTATGGATGATGGAAAGAATGTTGTTTCCAGACCATTGTGAATTACCCATAGTAAATTAAAGAAGACATACTGCTAGTTTTTCTTTCTGGCTAGCATACACAAACAAAGCTATAATGCTACAGGAGCATATGTTTTCTAATAGGAAAGTAAAAGAGCAAGGAGCTAATAAATATTAACTCCAGTTTCAGGATACCTCCTACGTGAAATAAATTTCAGCCATGTGCCAAACCAAAGAGGGTTGAATCTGATGATAGTCTGTGAACCACACTATTCTCTATTGTTAAAGTCCAACTCCAGAAAACTTGAAAATTCTCCCTTGCGGTGGGACTTTGCCTGCACTGTGAGGGTTAACTTTTTATTTTAGTGGAGAGTAAAAAGCACCTGATCCTCTGCTCCCCCAGCACTCAGATGGTGGACTGTTCCTTCAGTGTGATCATGTTCAATGCAGGGCAATAGACCCTGCATTGGTCTTCATGATGTGAAGACTTTAGACCACTGATGCATGGGGAAAAGGCACTGCATGGACCATTGCAGCATGAAGGAATGGAAGATAGTGTAATACATTTCCTTTCATATGCCCCCTACACCCAAACAGTTAACCCTTGCAGTACGAGCACAGCCCCACTGTAAGGGAAGATCTTCAAGTTTCCCGGAGTTGAGCTTTAAGGGCAGCCAAATTATGTGTGAGAGGCTTAAAAGCTCTCCAATAGTAAGAAAATGAGTGCGCCCGTTCTGAAACAAACATTGCTAAGGTGACCAACAAGAGGCTCTAGCATGAGGGAACAGCCGACTTTTACCAGATATTTAAAAGTAAACAGGTAATGGAGTCATGTAGCGGATATAATGTCTGATTCACAGAACACAGCTGGACATTTTCCAACATGCGGAGGTCTTTTTTCAAAATCTTAACAAAATTATGTTTGTGGTCACTTTGATTATAAAAACGTAAAGACTGCATGTATTACATTGTACCTCCCATACACCCTGGTAGAAACAAGTTTCTTCTTTTTCTTCTTAAGCTCATCATACTCAAACAGCCCAAGAAGGGCACCTTCTGCTGCTGCCTGGGCATCTCCACAAGGGTCCACCTCCGCTTGTTCAATTTCCATGTCTTGAAGCTGTCTGCAGCCCACTGCAAAAAACCAAAAACACATTCCAACATCAAGTGTCCATTTCATTATTATAATATACCTCTCATTTTCTGTCTTAGATGTTCTCTTATTGTTAATAACATTTAGTTCATTTCAACATTTCCTTGTTAAAAAGTGTGCATGCAAGTTCAGTTTTGGCTGTAAGCGTTTGACAAAAGCCCATTCACACCACAAAGTGCACATTATTAGGCTTCTAAAGCATGCACCGGTATGCAATATCAACACATGCTGAAATGTATTCTTAAAATGCATTGCAGTGCTCACTTTCTTTTTTTCCAACATGTATGCGATTCCTTTGTGCTCCAGCATGTTGGGATGCCCTACTGCACTTTGCATTATGCTGCACCTTGGTGAGAACTGAAGCCAAAAGGACAAAAGGCAAAATTACCTTGTCCTGGCGTGTAGCCCTTAAAGTGTAATTTCAGTCAAAACCTAACTAAACCTAAACCTGCTCCCACCCCCATTCTAAGCCTATTCTATCTATCCTATAAAAAGGGAAGATGTCTAGATTTACCTATTCTGAAGTCACTCTAGTGCGGTCACATGATCGGGTCCCAGCTTCAGTGTAGAGGAGGGAGAGCCAACAATGGCTGCCCCCTAGTAAGCATAAGGGTGACGTAATCGCCCAGGCCGTTGTCAGCAGTCTTTTCTGTACACGGAAACTGCCGCTGGAGAGATCATGTAACCGAACCTGATTGCCTTCAGAATAGGTAAGTATAAACATCCTTCCATTTACAGGGTAGAGAGCATAGGCTTGGAATAGGGGTGGGAGTAAGTTTAAAGGATAAATTATAAATGAACATCTGTTTGCAGGTAAATAAATGTGCATTTATTATTTTTTTTACTAGAAGCCTGCAAAGCATTGCACCCACAATCCGCAGATTGTGGGTACAGTGCATGACTTGCAGACTGTCAGTGTAAGCTGTCTGCTCATAGCTTTTGAGAGCATGCAGTTACACAATGACAGAAAGCATCAATGATCAATCTAGAGCACTCACCAGCGCTCTGGTAGTTCACTGAAAACTACAAGCCATCAGCTGCAAATGATGACAGTATCTCTAATTTCTTGAGGCCCAAAAATGTCAGAACAGTACAGATATCCCCCAAATGACCCCTTTTTGCAAAGTAGACAGTCCGATGTATTTCAAAAGAGGCATGGTGAGTTTTTTTGAAGTTGTAATTTTTTTGTCATGATTTTCTGGAAAATTAATGAATTAAAAAAAAATTATTAATCACAATTTTTTTTTTTTTTTTTTTTTTACATACTGTCACCAGTGCAGTACAACATCAGCATATAACTGGTGTGGCGGTAATCAGGGAACACTGACTGGTGACAGTACAAAAAAAAAAATTTAAATTTTGTTTACATTTTTTTTTTTTATTACTTTTTTTCTCTTTATGTAAGATTTGTTTTTCATATTTCACTATGACCAAAGCAGTATGTTACCATAGTAACATTGTACTACTTTGGGGAAGTGATCAGTATTTTTTTTTTATACACAATTTGATTGCTTACAGCAAAGAATTTCTTTGCTATAAGCAAGCATTTAACTGAATGAAATCGATTAATTCAGCTTTTTTTTTGTGATTAGCTGTGATTGGCCATGACTAATCACATGAAACAGATGGGCTGTGACTTGCCCAGCCTGTGCATGTGATCACTGTGACCATTCACAGCTAGACAAACCTGTATAAAATGGATGACATGAAAGGAAGCCATCCATTGCTTCCAACTGTCATGTGACCTGCTGTAATTTGTCACAGCAAGTCACATGGTACTGGCAACGGGATCGGTACACAGATCTGTCATCGGCCATGTCTGAGGTACACAGCAGGTGACAGATCTCGCAACAGCGTGGCCCTGCGGGCACCGCAATGTGCAATTCCGGAAGGACGTCATATGATGTCCTCCCGGAGGGACAAGAGGTTTGCCCAGCTGTCATATTACTATAGGCCGGGAGGGGAGTGATTAAGCATTGTTAGGCTTTGACTGGAATTGTGATTTTGCAGAGTCCCTGTTTCCAGTTGCAGTATGATGTGGTTCACACTGCCCCAATGCCAAACCAAAGGCCATTACCTGACACTGCAGTTCTGATGTTCTCCTTCCTCTCATTCCAAACCTCATGTTGATTAAAGCCAGCAGATTCTTTACCCAGCCCAACCACTACAACACTGGGAAATTCCTGAAACACAAACACAAAAAGTTCTTCTCTGGCACATACAGTGTAAAAACTCCAACCAAGAAGAGAAGAGCATCAGCGGCCATTGCATCAAAAAATAAAGTACTACAGCCGTTTCCTCTACCCCCGAGTTAACAAGCATTGAACTATTTCCCCCTTGCAGTGGACAAAAACGAACTAATCCACCACTGGAACCTGCAGGTGATGACCCATCAAGATAAGTTAGGATTCCAAAACTTACCGGATGATGGAAAACCAGACTGCCAAAAAAAACATGCCGCCCACAGTGTCTGTGACAGTTCCCTCTAACACACAGCCAATGCCGTGGGGAGGAGTGGGCGGACATATGCATTTTGGGGCTCCTCCCCTTTCTTAATGTTGTTGTCAAGGAGCCACTGAGCAGCAGTAAATCTTTAAGGTGCAAGCATATCGGCCTCTACAATTTTGACGCAGTAAATTTCTGACTAAAGTTCCACTTTATGACACTGTGTGCCCAGATCTAGAGGGGTGCCAGTTTGGTCTGTGCCCCCCCTAGATTTTACCTGCACCCCCCAGGTCTCTGAGAATGCATTCCCTGATCCTTGTCCAGTCTGATGGGGACAGTTGATGTACAGGGGCACTCTGATGGGGACAGTTGATGTACAGGGGCCACTCTGATGGGGACAGTTGATATAGGGGGGGCCACTCTGATGGGGACAGTTGATATAGGGGGGGCCACTCTGATGGGGACAGTTGATATAGGGGGGGCCATTCTGATGGGGACAGTTGATATAGGGGGGGCCATTCTGATGGGGACAGTTGATATAGGGGGGGCCACTCTGATGGGGACAGCTGATGTAAGGGGCCACTCTGATGGGGACAGCTGATGTAAGGGGCCACTCTGATGGGGACAGCTGATGTAAGGGGCAAGCATTGAACTATTTCCCCCTTGCAGTGTGGGGACACTGCAATGGTCTTTGCTCTCTCCCAGGATAAGGCTTTAAAGCTGAACTTCATGCAAACAGTTGAAAACGTATTAGGAAGCGGTTTTAACTGACAATGGATTTGGATTTCTGTCCTTCCAGAGCTATGATTTACTAAGCTCTACCACACAGCAGAGCCCAATAGAAGTAATCTACTGCTGCAGAGAGAGGCAGGTAAGGGCTGCGTCAGCTTTGCCTGAACCTCTTTACTACCAGGAAGGTACAAGGAAAATTAGGAGTATATTATATTACAAAGACTGCCATACAGTAAAGGACAAACGAGTGTACATATTTTTAAACCTTGCCTAAAAAAAACAAAACAAAAGTGGACAAAAACGAACTAATCCACCACTGGCACCTGCAGGTGATGACCCATCAAGACAAGTTATGTTTTCAAAACTTACCTTAATCATCACTGGCACCAGCAGCTGCTCAGAGAAGTTTTTTTTAATTCAGTTTAACTTTATTATCAAGATTTCTATAACAATCTGGGGTCTCAAAGTGCATTATCTGCTGTTGGGGCAGATGGTGAGGCAATCACCTTGGGTGCACACTATTATACTAGCGTCAATTTGGGCAGCAGCCAACTGACCTGCCAGCATATCTCTGGAGTGTGGAAGGATACAGGTGCACCTGCAGGAAACCCAGCAAGCACAGAGAGAACATGCAAACTCCATGTAGATACTGTCCTGACCAAGACTTGAACGGAGGACCCCAGTGCTGCAAAAAAAAAAGTACTAACCACCAAGCTCCTGTTCGCATTAACCCTTTCGCCACCAGGGCCGTACATCGTACATCATTGGCTGCAGACACCAGGATTGTGTATAAAACTGACAGGCAGACTCCTGCCTGTCAGGTGGAAGAAGTCAGGAGGCTCAGCTGCTGCCCAATCGCTTCCACAGCCCCCCCGGTACCGGTGCCACCCCTGCACGTATGCTCCCGCCATGTATCTGGGCCCCACTTGCCCATCTACAGGCCCGGGGAGAGCCATGCAGATGGAGGGGAGAGCGGACGAACATCCACTCTCCTCCCCTTCTTTCTGTGACCCCGAAGGTGACGTTTGTTAAGTCACTTCCAGGTCACTGCTGTCACTTTCTCAGCTAGCACAGCCGAGAAGCAATGTATTGCAATGCGTCGGCATTGCAATACATTGAGTGGAGGCCAGGGGCCAGACACTGAGCGGGAGCCTAGAGGCCAGAGACCCTGCCTGCCTCAATAAAGAGAACCTGTCACTTAAACATCGTCACATAGGGGACTTTTTGTTCCCATATGTAATGAAAACAGTAAAACAATTTTTTTTCTTGCAAAATAATAAAAAGTTATACCCAAGCACATAACACCCCCTCCCCCTCACAAATGCACGTGTAAATTGATGACCTATAGGGGCTTTTGAAGCATCGCCTATAGAAAATACAGGGTACTGAAGTTTGTCACCATTTTATAGGCACACACAAATTTAAGGTTTGGCATGTTGGGTATCTATTTACTCGGTGCAATCTCGTCTTTGATATATTACCAAAAAAATTGGGTCATTTACTGCATTTTTTGCCCTAAAAAATTACTTTAGTGTGTTTTTTACTGAAATGTTGCATTTCCTAGACTTTTGCGGTAATATTGTGTGACATATTGGAACTACCACTATTTTATTCTCTAAGGTGTCTTTCAGAAAATATATAATGTTTCAGGGGTTTTGTGTAATCTTCAGGCCTAAAATTATTATTTTTTAAACATGTGTGCAAACAATACGCATACGGCTCTGGCAACGAAAGGGTTAAACAAGGAAAACCAGCATGAATATTTTATGATTATTAAAAACAAAATGGTGTGTAACTATAATCATTTGACCCTCAAGATTGTAAGTTTTGATACATATTACAATGACATCCTGCTTATAGAAAAGAATACCTCATGTAAACCATAAAATATCCGTGATTTGCCTTTCTTGAGGGAAGGTCCAGATCTGCAGGTGAAACAGACAACATGCCGGTTTATTTTTGACAAGCTTCAGAGAACATTACAAATTTATAAGGCATAACTAACAGAAACAGAAGATTTACATTACCTTGTCAACTGATCTCTCAGCTTCCCAGACACAATGTTGTCAAACCTGTCCCCTGCCTGAGTGAAGACCACGTTTTCTTCTTCAGTTTTTTCATAAGCACCCAACACAAGACCCTGAAAAAAAAGAAAGAAACGATATGTGTCTTACAATTGTGTGTAGCTGTATATAGAGTGATGCTCATTTTTTGGTCATTTGCTTTAGGGTTGGGTTTTTCAATGGTAAAAAGCTGAAACATTTTCTTAGTTCATGTATGATGACACAGATTAGTTACATTGGCTTTGAACTAAGCCTTAGGAAAGCTGGCATTGACCACAATGTATTTAATTACAAGAGAGACAAATGGCCGAGGTGCTGGATCAGTAAAATGCAACGTTTATTGAACAACACTTATTCAAATTTACACCTAGGGAATTGTGGAGCAGCTTCAAGGATGAGAGTGAGCCTCCACTGGACAACAGCAGGACATCAGAGGATCGCTGAGTTGGATGATGGAAAACCAGACTCCCAAAAAAAACATGCCACCCACAGTGTCTGTGACAGTTCCTTCTATCACACAGCCAATGCCGTGGGGAGGAGTGGGTGGACATATGCATTTTGGGGCTCCGCCCCTTTGTTAATGTTGTTGTCAAGGAGCCACTGAGCAGCAGTAAATCTTTAAGGTGCAAGCAAATCGGCCTCTACAATTTTGACGCTGTAATTTTCTGATTAAAGTTCTACTTTAAGCCATTGTGCTGTGGGCCCAGGGTGGTCTGTGTCCCCTAGATTTTACCTACACCCTCAGGTCTCTGAGAATGCATTCCCGGATTCTTGGGCCAGTCTGATGGGGACAGTTGATATGGGGGGGGGGGGCACTCAGTTGATGGGGACAATTGCTGTAAGGGGCCGCCCTGATGGGGACAGCTGTTGCAAGGGGCCGGTGACAGACTATCAGTGACTCACATGCAGTGTTCACAAGGTGTCCTCAGACTTTTCTATGCTGCACCCGCAGATCATACAGGCTAGATTCCGTTCTGCAGTATGGCCACAGCAACTACCTATCTCCATGAATTGTAAAAAACTAGAGCATTAGGGGGAAATTAGGGACACAGGACAGTTATATACAGAGTGGAGCGCGGTCTACGCACAGAGAGGAGCGCGGTCTACGCACAAGAGAGGAGCGCGGTCTACGCACAAGAGAGGAGCGCGGTCTACGCACAAGAGAGGAGCGCGGTCTACGCACAAGAGAGGAGCGCGGTCTACGCACAAGAGAGGAGCGCGGTCTACGCACAAGAGAGGAGCGCGGTCTACGCACAAGAGAGGAGCGCGGAGCAAGAGAGGAGCGCGGTCTACGCACAAGAGAGGAGCGCGGTCTACGCACAGAGAGGAGCGCGGTCTACGCACAGAGTGGTGCTGGTTTTGGACTTCATCCCACAACGCTGACCATAGCATTCAGTAATCCAAGATCCAGCAATACATGGCAATACCCAGCCTGCCTGCCTGCCTGCCTCTATAGTGTATCCAGCATGAATATCATCAAATGGACGAGGCCTGTAGACACATCATTGTAATCAGGGTTCCCCCTCATCCCTTCAATCCCGATCACACACTAATGACAGGTTCTGTGGCTGGTTAAGGTGGTCACTAAACTCAGTGCCTTCTCTGCCTCGTACGATCCTCAGCCCCTGTGTAATGAATGTGATCGGTGTTATAGGGATGAGGGGGGAACACCGATTGTAACATATCTGCCATGTAAACACACCGCCTGAGACAAGGGGGATCCATGAGAGGGGCTCACCTTCCGGCCAGTGTTGTAGCATTGAGCTGACAGTGACAGGTGCCGGCAGCAGCCGCGGTGAAGACTCCTGTGCAGGACACATCTGATCGGATGCAGCATGGTGACTGCCAGGACCTGTCACTGCACAGCCACTGTCCTCTAACATGTGACTGGAGGCACACAGTGATGACGTTGTGGCAGAGAACCTGGAGTGACCGCCCAATGTCCTTCCACTGCCCTATCACAGGGAAGATCCCAGACCCCGCCCCTCCATCACTATTCGTCTATCATTATAACCCACGTCTGCCACCTAGCGGTACTGCACAGAATAGTCACTTGCAGGATAGCAAGTCAGGTCCAAGGCACAGAGGATCTGCAAAGTACACAAATCCACCACAACCAATCAGAAACCATCTGTTTGACTTCAGACCAATACAAGCAGACTCCTATGCTCTTCTTGTATCATTTTTTTGTTACGTTTGTAACTAGCACTTTTTTTTTTTATTATTTTATGTCCAGCACTGTCTGGTGATGGAGGTCAGTAATGAGGAGGCAAGCTGGGACTGAGAACCCAAAACTTTATGAGCATTTACCTAATATTGAGTAGGATTCCCTTCTTCTGGCACAGCCTGACCATCGAGGAGACCTCTGAAGATGTGCTGTGATATCTGGCACCAAGCCATCAGTAGCAGATCCTTTAAAGCAGGGGTGTCAGACTCACGACGGGCCGCATCAAAATTATGGTTGCCCACAAAGGGCTGGTTGTATATGTAAGACTAGATGTCCAGAACACCCCATCTCTCCTACATCACAGTGCACCCCTCTTACCTTGTGCTGCTGCCAGGAAGAAGCTGGAGGTGGAGCTGGGAAGCAGAAAGTGCAGGGTCTGGAGGAGGACCAAAGGATGGCTGCAGTCAGCTGCTGAAGTCTGCAGGGGAGGTGGAGACAGGGGGTGCTGCGGCTGCACACATATATATAGGATCTGTAGGAGGAGATCTGTCCTCTGCTGCCAATTGCTGAGACCAAGTGTGGGGGGTTGCAGAAATGAGTCTCTCTGTAGCTGCATGGAGAAGAGCAGGATCTGGTGTAGGAGATCTGTCCTTCTCTCTTCTGTTGACTACTGAGACAAGGTGAAGATGAGGGAGTGCCACAGCTGCAGGAGAGGTCTGATGGCCACATGAAAGGGCCTGGAGGGCCAGATATGATCCTCGGCCTTTTGTTTGACACCTGTGTTTTACTAAACCCAGGACCCTGCATTCACTATATCTGGTCTCCCACAGTACACACAACATGGAAATGCAATTATTTTATTAAGTATAAACTGCTAATAATACCTTTTCTCATCAGCAGTATATAACAGTCTTGTGGCTTCTATCAGTGTCCAGCAGAGCACTGGTTAATCTTATAGGAGGAGTTTTTATTCTTCTATGATTGTCCTATGAGACTGCAGGACCCCTGACCCTCTCTCTGGACGGTGCTGATTGGCCCTGTGCTAATCACATGCACCACCGCCCCAAAAAAAACCCAAAGCTTTCTAGCAATACACAACAAATTGAGCAAGTGCAGACTTGCTGCTGTTGCTCTGTACTATGGCGGATGGATTGGGGACAGAAAAAGAAGGGAAGGATCAGAGAAGACAGGATCAAACAGTCTTCTTACACAATGATTGTATAGTGTATGGCCAGCCTTAGCATTCTGGCATAGTTTTGATGGAGAATTAAGAGCTCCATTTTTCTCAATGACCCATTTTACAGTCTGGCAACCAACATATTATGGTATGGAACAAAATGACCATTTGTGCAACACCAAATATGACACTCCTTGGATATTGCTTATAATGTATAAGCAATATCCAAGGAGTGTCATATTTGGTGTTGCACAAATGGTCATTTTGTTCCATACCATAATATGTTGGTTGCCAGACTGTAAAATGGGTCATTGTGTAGATGCTTGTTATGACTGTAATTTTATTAGATCAGGATTTATGGAATATGACTGGATTTGAGAGCTTGCAATTAACACAAAACAGAGACACCTTGCAAACTGTCAGAGCTAGTCCCCCCCACCCCTCCCAGTTCCTGCTTGCCACCCCCCAGCATCCCCTCACTCTGCAAAAACTAAATCGCATTTGAAAACAAGAATAGAATAAAATAGAATAGAAAATAAAGGAATAGAACAAAAAAGAATAGAAAATAAAAGAATAGAATAGAAAATAATTAAGTAAAACAGAGCAGAATAGAAAATAAAAGAATACAATAAAATAAAATAGAAAATAAAGGAATAGAAAAGAATAGAATAGAATAAAAAGAATAGAATAGAATAAAAAATAATAGAGTAACACAAAAAAGAATAGAATAGAAAATAAAAGAATAGAATAAAATAGAATACAAAATAAAGGAATAGAATAGATTAGAATAGAAATATAGAATAGAATATAAAATAATAGAATAGAAAATAGTAGAGTAAAACAGAACAGAATAAAATAGAAAATAAAAAAACATAATAAAGTAGAAGATAAAGGAATAGTATAGAAAAGAATAGAATAGAAAATAAAAGAATAGAATAAAATAGGTTAGAAAATAAAGGAATAGAATAGAAAATAATAGAGTAAAAGAACGGAATAGAATAGAAAATAGTAGAGTAAAACAGAATAGAAAATAAAAGAATAGAATAGAAAAAATACTAGAATAGAATAAAATGGAAAGAATATAACCGTCTTCTAAACTTAAAATTTGTAACAGAATACATTTGAAATTCAATGCCTATTGATACTTTTCTAATTTGGTTTGAATTTTCTGAATTCTGTCTAATTCTGTTGAAAACGAATAAACAAAACTAAATGGATTCCAAAAATGAATTAAACGAATTTAATGAAACAAAATTATTTAAATAACGAATCAGAATAAACAGAACACATTTTTCGTTCTGCACGTCTATATATAAGGTGAAAAGCGTGCATTATATATAACTAAACACTTACAAATATAAATAATACACTGTCATCAGCCACATTCCAAATACGACAAAACCACACTGATATGCCTATCCCCATTATAAACCCCACCCACCAAAGATCCTCAGAAGTACACGTATATTATGAAGAAACATCATTTTACTCCTCCTATCTCCCTCAAGGCACTCATACCTATACTTCAACTTTATATTACAAACATAAGACCATAACATCATGTAAAATTCCACTCTCGGACATGAATAAATATATGCTTTTAGACCTTGAACTTGCTTGATCCTTCCAATACCAGACCACTTAGGCCATGGCAAGATAACACACCCAATTAATGTTTGCAATAGTACTTCACTGGGGTCCTCCAAGTATCAGAGATTAGCATTGTTCAATCAATATTAACATCCTCAAAATGTTAATACTTCCATGTAACATGGTTCTAGAAGGACCCAGAAAAGTGATTGTATGTCACATATAGTCACTTCAAACACGAGATCCCAGAGATATCCATGAGGTTTGATCTGAAAAGTCACACTTCTGCTGATGTATTATAAAGAAAGCCCTCAAAAGGTGGGCTTTGCTTGCCAAACCCCAATGAGCCTCACATATACAGTATCCACAGCAGGTGTACATCACACATTGTGGGGGAGCAAAATGACACACTCAACCACTGTGTGGGTCATGGAGAACAGTCTATACTGTCCTTTCAGCACCAAATGAGGCCACAGATAGGTTGTCTTATTGCCGCAGAAGAATATTTTAAATTCACATGCTGACACATACAACATAGATTACAGTCACTGATCACTTACAACAACAATGTCCATAGATCAGAATCAAAATCAGAAAAATGGATTATCATTTTACAATACAAAAATCATAAAATGGAATGCAGATGCAGCCTCCTCACAAGGTCATCTGAATGTTGCAAACATAATTACTTGCTATTTGTAGTGTACAGGGTTCAAGGGTCTTAACTGGAAATAGCCATCCATTGCCATAGATGTCAATCTCGGATGTACTATAACTGTAGTTGTTCATACTTCTAGCTATCATTCCTGAGAGAGAGGAAAGAGGTGGGTGCCAGCAGATGCTGGATCATTTCCACCAGTATCACCCTGCTTCCCCAGATGTCACACTGGCAACATACCCATCACACATGGTCCTGGAGTAGGTAGGTTCAAAGACTGCTGCAGCAACATCCAGCTGGATACTATAGACTTCACAGATCAATGTACATATTTGCCAGCACACCATGGATCTTCACATAATGCAAGAGCCTTGGTCAAGCATGTGATAATGAAGGGGTCCTGCGTGGCCTCAAAACATTGCACTCTTCTGCTGTGATGTGATCACTTTGAATTAAATTTTGGCCATTGTTTGAAGATCCATGTTGTGTTGGCTAATATGTAAAGTAACCTCACACTGATCATCTGCCTCTTAAGGAGAGTTGGGGCAAAATCTGACTCATCTAGACCAGAACTCCACCAGATGCACTCTTTCCCTGCCGTCCTCCCCACATGGAAGGAAAATTCCAAAAAGTAGAATAAATATATTTTTAAAGACATACAGTATATTTGAATATGTATTTTTAAAAATATTTTTCAGATATTTTGTAATAAAAATGCATTTCAACATACAGTATATAAATATAAATATATATATTTATATATATATACAGAACAGGGGCAGACTGACAACTCATGGGGCTCCCGTGCAATAGGGGATCATGGGGCCCCTGTGTCCTTGCCCAAACTCAAAAAAGCCTATGAAAAAGTTACCAGGGGCATCTCATGGGGCCCCCTACTGACCCCCGGGCCCTCGGGCAGTGCCAGAGTTTCCAAATGGTCAATCCGCCCCTGTATTGACATATATGGAATATGGCCAAAATTGTAGTATTTCAAATATATGTCAATATATTTGGGAATAATATTTTTGAAATATATTTAAAATATATTTTGCTACCATGTGGGTCATACTGCTCCCAGTCTAGCATCATGTCGCAAATTTGTGGCCCATGACATCACGACGCACACGTGCCATGGCCCACAGCATCATGTAATGAACATGTACTGAGAAGTAAGGGATTGCCCAGCCCCCCCACAAGATGGCACCTCCAGTGATATCATACCATACTTACAAATACCTTTGAACA